ACAGATAAGAAACGCTGCCGATGCATGCCAGTGCTGTACAGCAAAAATGTTTATTATTTTACGAAGTATAATTAAATCATTATACTGTCAATATAGCCTATTGCCATTAAATTATAAATTATTTTTGTAGCTTAATATGATATGTTTAAAAAATTTTTATACACTTATGTACTTTACGACAGCTTTAAGTAAATTAAAATTGTCCTTTTTTCTGTTCTATATTAATATATATTTGATTATAAAAATAAATGAAGCGCCCATGTCTAGTAATACGATATTATTCTTTTATTGTTCGTCGGCAAGCAGGTTTTTGGATGTTTCAACTGACTTTATAAATACTATACACACGAACCTACTCCGTTGACATTACACAGTAGTGTCAGTGGTTGTTTAAAGCGATAACAGCATAGATTTTTAATTTATTTTTGTAAAAAAACATGTCTGTTTATACGCCCATAGAAAATTTCAAATAATAAAATAGTTTTATGGTGGTAATTCTAGACAACAGTGTGTAGATTGATTTTCTGTGTTTTTTGAGGGGAGACCAATTCCTTGCGTACAGTCAATTCATAATAGTGTTAAAAATTGAGTTTGTATTACCAGACTGACTCTTGAGTTTTAACCTTGTTTAGGCTTGTGCCTCTTCAAGGAATGGAGAACTCCCTTTTTTTTGACGGAGTTGTGGGGGGTGTGAGAAAAACGTCAGTTAAGCGAAACGCGAGCTAAGAAGTAAAAGGGGGAAAAGAAGGTAGTTATTTGTGTGATCGATAAGAATCGATAGAACGCACAAGAAGAAGTTGGAATTGCCTAGCATGCAGTGTAAAGTACTTCAGGGGTTACCAGCCATACGGTAGGAACGGCTCTTTATCAGCGTTTCTGGCGCGCAATCTATCTGCGGTAGTAGATGGGGAAAGTTTCAAGAATATCAAAAGACTCATCACGGAGTTCAGGTCCAGCGTTGTGTAGAAGTTTAGCTGGAGGGAATGGAACTTTCTTAGCAGGGTGCTTGGTGAGTATTTGCCCTCTATGCGAACAAGGTGTCTTTAGTGTTTGTTTGGCTCAGTTGTTCGAGCCAGCTATGGTTCTTGGGACATACTTCCTACTGAGGATTAGGATTCTGTCCTTAATTGGCGTGATGTTAGTGCGTATATGTGGGCTGATGGATACAACCAATCTTTTCTCATACAGTAGCGCAGAATTCTACGCTTGGTGGCAGTGATGGCGTTGAGTTCGTGGCTCTTCAGAGAAAAGTAAACGCATGCCTTGTATTCGATTATCGGCCTGATAAAAGCCTTATAGGTGTGCAACAATGTATTAGAGGACGTTCCTCCTAGCTTTCCGGTTAGCACTTTCAGGAGATTAAACCCCCTTCTCATCCTATCAAGGGATTCATGGATGTCAGCCTTCCAATTGAGAGTTCTCGTAAAACGAACTCCCAAGTAGAGAACCGAGTTCCTAAGAATAAGGTCCTCTCCCAAAAGTGTCATCCGGCCCTGGAGGTCGGGTCCGTAGGGAGGTCTGAAGACTATAGCACCTCACGATCTATCAAGGTAGGCTTGCGATTTATCGAATACAGACCGTCGCTCTCCCTCTCTGCAAGAGCCTGAATTGAGAATGGCTGTATCATCAGCGAATAGGAGAAGAGACTCTGATCCTTGCCGTGGGCGGGGGATGTCGCTATTGTAGACAGTGTATAATATTGGAGCAAGTATTGAGCCTTGGCGTACTCCCGCTTGTGGAGTGGAGAGATGGTCTCCTATTTTGATCCTAACCGTCCGATGGGAGAGATAGGAATTTATTAGTTTAACGAAAGGTGTTGGCAGTCCAGCAAAGTGGAGTTTCTCGATCAAGCCTGCGTGCCAGACTTGATCGAAAGCCTTCTGGACAACGAGGAAAATGCCTACGACGTGCTTCCTTTTGTTAATGGATTGCGAAATGAAAGTTGTTGCTTCAACCAATGCATTTTGTGTGGAGTGTCCAGCCCTGAATCCGAATTGGATTAGCCCGTAATTTGGAATAAGGAAGTGAGCGTCTAGGAATTCTACGAGTCTTTCCTTGAGGATCCTCTCGTAGATTTTACCTAGGGTGCTCAGTAGTGAAATTGGTCTGTACGATTCAGGGTTGGTGAGGGTTTTCCCTTTCTTAGGGATCATGACAGTGCTGGCCACCTTCCAAGGAATAGAAAAGTAGCTCAGCGCAAGAGATGCATTGATTATATTGGTGAGTAACGGGATAATATTCTGTGGAAGATTTTTGAATCATCTTCTGTGGATGCCATCTGGGCCAGGAGACGTGTTTTTTCCCATGTTACACATCTGCCTGACGGTTTCCTCAGTCACTGGTGCCATCATCGGGTGAGGATGGTCCATCAAGTGGCTGATGGTAGTAGAATATGTCTTCCACTCTCCGTTCGGTGGCTCTTTTGGATCTTTCGTTGAAATTGAGGTTGTTAGGTGAAACGAGGGTGGCCTGCAATGTATTTTTGAAAGCTTCGGCCTTGTCTTGTGGATTGTTTAGTAAGACGTTATTGATTTTGAGGTGAGATCGTGGCTGACTTTTTTGTTTTGTTAGGACTTTGAGTTTGTTCCAGAATGCAGAGCCATCCCGGTAGTCGAGGTCAGAAGTGACTCACATCCACTGTTTTTGTTTCAGCTTGTTCACTTCGAGCCTATTGTTCACTATTGCCAGAGAACTGCGAACTTAGTTCTCTGGTATCCCCTCAAAAATTAAAGAAAATCTCACGTTCAGGAAGTGTTACCAGAAAACCAGGTTGTATATATTATTATAATAAAACACAGTATGAAGCTTCTCACTAGTCTACAGTACCTCATTCGCCTACTGTACTATTTTTTTTATAATTTTTCACAACTTTTTTAGCTGAAACATATCTAAATTCTGGTTAGGGACAACCTATGGGATAGGGTGTTTTCCGCGTTTTCAAATGAAACTAAACTATAACAAAAATATTGTTTTATTTCAAAATATTATAAAGGACATGAAATTTTCATTACAAAGAACAAGACGTAAATTTTGGCAATATTAATTTATAAATATATGTATCGAAACTATTTAAATAAAATCCCGAAACAAAGAAAACACCTCTATGCAAAAATATAAAAAAAAACTGTTTTTCGTTAAATAAAAAATAAATATTCTTCTATGGACACAAGTACAGAACGATACATTAACTTTATTTACAAATAAATTTGCTTTATATTTTCCAAACAATATTATTTAAACATACAAAAAGTTGCTAGGTATATTTGGCAATTAACAAATTCATAATTAACATAAAAAAAGTTAGATACATTTATGAAATAATAGGATTAGTTTATCCGAGACGTCAGTTTTCTGTGGTTGCCTGATCACAATAACTTGTTCCATCATAAAAGCACCATCTATTACGAAATGGCTGACGTTATCCACACATAGTAGACTTGAACTACATGAGTATATTTAAAAAAAATATAAAGATATGAATCTGTCTGAAGAATTTCCAATTACAAATGATTTTTGAAATTGTTTAGTGGTAGCTATGTGCCAAAAATATATTTAAATTTAATATTACAATATTAAATTCAGCAAAGTATGGAATATTCCAATATAAACTACTCAAATCATAGGTAATTCTGACAAAGAAATAAATTATGACTTCCGAAAACAACTCCAGACATATCGTATTCAAGACAGTCTTTTGTGACTAATACTGTGTCTATTATTTATACAGTAGATATGCCTTTATATCAATACTAACATAATGTGACTATTAGAAATAGAATAAGGAATTATATGCTGATATATTTCTGAGGGGTGTAGGGTTGTGTTAGATAGCACCTTTTATCGGAAAATACATACTTTTCATACATACTCTAAACAATCAGAAGTAACAAAGAAGAAAAACTACCGAAGGCTAAATAATTTGGCGAACAAGCAATGATTTTCTTAAAGTACGAAGAACTCTACAATGCCAATTAAACACTGCAAATCAACATAGCCTCTCTGAGACTAAGAACCAACGTCATAAAGGAGATGGTCATCAGGAAAAATCCGGACATCATCTGCATCTCAGAAATATTATACATGACGAACACTTAGCTGCCAAGGATCACGGACTTTAGCGAATATGGAAGAAAAGACACTCCAAACCACAGAAGAGTGGCCATATACGTAAAAAATAACAATGAATGGAACCAGGTAGTAGTTAACACACAAAATTTTGAAAACATAGGTATCAAAATGGGCAATACTAATATTTTTCTTAGTTTACAGGAAAGAAAACGACAATCTAGCCCTGGAAGAAATAAAAGCAATGAGGAAAACAGTAGAGACGTAGTCCTAGCAAGAGAGTTCAACGCACATCACACGATATAGAGATGTCTCACGTTTTTGAAAAAGTGGTTTTGATTTTTTTTTTACAACAAGTATAGGATTTAATATTAAAAGCATATATACAGTGAAAGTTGGGTGAACAATGTATTTTATGAACATTTTATTTCTTTATTTGGTGAGGTATTTAGAGTGATATGACAGTTCAAATTTTTATGTCTGAAGAAGTCCCACTCTTCCTACCATGACGATTAAAGTGACTTGGTGTTTCATAGTATTAGAGTAAGATGAAATCATTTTTAACAATAATTCTAATTTTTTTCAAATTTATTGACAAGGTAAATTAGTATAACTAGAGATGCATAGCACTTCTTTGACCACACTAAAAGATTATATAATAATTTACAGCATAAACATACTTTTTATATTATTATAAAAAAAGTAAACAACCACAAAAATAAGTTCTTAGTATTTAAACACCTACTAAATATTAAATATTTCATTAAAAAAAGATCACCATTTAACTTTTCCATAACTTTGAAAATTTTTAAAAGATTCCAAATCTCCTCTAAATTCATACCGTTGGTAAATATTTACTACCATACAAAGTGTTTTGGTAAACTGGTATGATCAAACCATATACCTATTCAAAATTTCATCAAATTTAAGCTCTAGTTAATACTGTTAACAGTTTTTCGTTTAACAACATATATGTTTATTATTACTAAAATACTATCAAAATTATTTCCCGTGCCTATAAGTAAAGACACAAGACCAATTTGTTTAACAAACTGATTCAACTTGCATTTTGAAATTCCTATGGCCTTTGAGGAAAAATAAATCCTTGAGTTGTCACAGGAGAAGCATACCATGAGGGAGGTGGTGTAGGTGGATAAATATAATGTGTTGGCTGTACATATGAAACTTCTACAGATGGAGTATATATTACAGGAGTCGTTGGAACCAATACTTCAGTGATTTCCGGCGTTAAGGCTGTTGTTGATGAATACAATATAGGAGTACCTAAACACAAAAAAATTAAATATTATATACATATTATTTATTGTTGCGAAGAATAAAGGTTTTTATTGAAAATAAACAAACCAATAAAACAATCAGATAACATAACTCGGTACTAATTACTATTTAACTGGGAATAAGCCACAATTAAAGATAAAAATACGTTTATTGACGTTTCAATTTCCACTTCGGATATCGTTCTCAAAATACAAACAGTAAATTAAACAAATTTTTTTTTTGTTACATAGTGAAAAATTCTTCTAATAATTTAATTTTATCTGACTCATTTATATTGACAATTCAGACATACATTATGCATTTTAAAGTAGACGACTTTAAAATGATATTGCCAATATTGTTGAGTTGCGCTCCTGGGACGACTTTACTTATAATATTCGATTACATGAAATCAACTTTAACTTGAGAATATCCGTCAGAAAAAAATCATAGCATGTAATTCGTCTTTAAAAAGAGAAACACATGACATGATGACAGTAAAATTCGCCTGTTAGTGATTCCATAGTAAATTATGAGGAAAAAACCAGGAAAAAAACCTCATAATACTATCCCGACATGGTAAGTATTTGTTCGTGCATTTAGTTTACCTTCAATAAACACCAAAATTCTGATTTTATATGTTTCGTTATTTAAAAAAACATAAATGATGTATCCTCTATATGTTACTGACTTACTAATACTGATATTTTTTTATTAATAACTTCCTCTTTCAATATTGGTAACCAGATCCTACTACATTCTGCGGAGGAATTTGCGACACAATTGGCCTCATTTAGCATAATTAGAGTCGCTTCTTTGATTTTTCTTTTTTTACCATCCGTTTCTTTTAGGATACATTTGAATTATTCCATTGAACCCTATGTTTATTATCCCAAGCGTGTTTACATATTTGAGATCTATCAAATTCTCTATTTTTAATATAAGATTGATGTTCACTTATTCTAACATTTAATGGCCTTGAAGTTTCACCTAAATAAAACTGATCGCATTCACAAGGTATTTTATAAATGCAATTCTTTGTCCTTTCTTGTTCATTGTTAGGTTTGGTTTTGGACAAAATAGATCTCAACGTGTTTGTTGTTTTGAATGTTGTTGAAATGTTGAATTTATTTCCTATCCTTTTAAGTTTTTCTGATAATCCTTTTATGTACGGTATTGTTATTTTCCTCGTATTATTCCTTGTGTATGCTGTAGGATCTCGTTCTAAGTTGTTCTGTTCTATTCGATCGATTGTTGAAAATTCCTTATTTATAAACGATAAAGGATAATCATTTTTTAATAAAACAGATGTTAACAAATGTTTCTCCTCCAAGAACGAATTTTCGTTAGAACAAGTAATTTTGGCTCTATCGTATAAGGATTTAATAATTCCCTTTTTTACATTAATATTGTGATTTGATTTGAAATTTAAATATCTGTTGGTGTGTGTTGGTTTTCTATACACCTGAGTCTCATATCCAGTATCGTTCTTAGAGATTAAAACATCCAGGAAAGGTAGCGTGTTCTTATATTCCTTTTCCATGGTAAATGTTATTGTCTCTTCTTTATCGTTTATATCATTTAGGAATGTGTCCAACAACTCTGATCCATGAGGCCATATTGAGAATACATCATCTACATACCTACACCATACTGTGGGTTGTAAATTTTGTTAAGAAATGATATTTGTTTCAAAATCTTCCACAAATATATCGGCTAAGAATGGAGATAAACTAGAGCCCATTGCTAGACCAAAATGTTGTTTATAGAATTCATTATTTAGTTGAAAATATGTATTATCAGTACATAATGTTAATAACTCCATTATAGCCGATATGTTTAGTCTTGTTCTAGTTGCCAATGAATCATCACTCTCTAATTTTGTCTTGACTATACTTAAAGTCTTATTTAATGGCACATTCGTAAATAAACTATTTATGTCAAAACTTACCAAAGTATTATTTGAATTAAATTCAATATTTGATAATTTATTTAAAAAATGTTGTGTATTTTTTATGAATGTGTCATTTTTATTTGTAAATGGTTTTAAAATATTTAATAAAAATTTTGATAGTTCACTACAAGGAGAATTCATGGTACTACAAATGGGTCTAAGTGGTATATTCGTTTTATGAATTTTCGGTACTCCATAAAAATGAGGAGTCTTACTGTAACGAGGTGTAATTAATCCTCTCTGATAACTTGTTAAAAAATCTTTAAACTTGAATAAAGTTCTATATATTTTGTTTTCCAAAGGATTTGTTGGATCTTTTGTTAATTTTGTATAAGGTCCGTTTATTATTAGATCTTTAATTTTGTTTTCGTATTGAATTTTATCCATTATCACAGTTGCATTCCCCTTGTCTGCTGGTAGGATAATTATGGAGTCGTCATTTTTTAAAGTTCTTATAGCCTTTAGTTCCTCTTTGCTTATGTTTTGTTAAATTTTAGTAGATTTTTCCAATTCAAGTTTACATGACACTCTGTATTCTTCCTTTTCGTGGGTTGGTAAGCATTGAGATATTTTCTCCACTGAGCTTACTATGTCTAATTTTGGAACGGATGGCTGAGTAATAGCAATATAATAATTTAAAATGCCACAAGAAAATAGCTTCAGAACAATAACTCGGTACGTTCTACATTATTTGCTTTAGTTGTAAATTGAACGAAAATAAATAAACTAAATTTTGAGTACAAAAACGAAAATATGCATTATGTGGGGTTATCAGATGTGCAAAGGGGAAAGATCATCGGTCTTGTGGAGCAAGGAATGTCTTAGAGGGACATAGCTGCAGTGTGAGGCAAAATCATATGATATTATTATTAGGAACGCTTAAGAATAGACCAAGACAAAGTGGGCAAATATTAATAACAGCTCGCCACGATCTTTTTATTGTCCAAGTAGCAAAAAGAGACCCAACTATTTCTCTCCCACGGCTACAAATGCAACGTTTCGAAGCTACATGTGTAAATGTTTCAGTTGAAACCATAAGAAAAAGACTTCGTGTGCAAGGACTATATAGCAGTAGACAGTTACGGGTTCTCGAGTTATCCATGTTAATTTGGTTTTAGAAACTGTAGTTAGGTTCTGGTGAGGTGAAATGGGAGTAAATTTAATTATGTATCTCTACATACCAACAGAGTGGCTAAACTTCCTTTAAGCAGTAGAAATCACTATTCTAAAGTGACCTGCTTACTCTCCCGACCTTAACCCTATGGAGAATTTGTAAATTCTGCTTCACAAAACAATTAGAACTCTCCGGGATAATCCACAAAATATCGCACAGATAGTATAAGCTGCTCTTGAAGAATAGAACAACCTACAACAACAAAATGTTGGCAATTTGTTTAGGAACGTGACCATGCGAATTGATGCTTGCATAATGATAAAGCTTAAGGTTATTGTTTCTCACTAACCAAACCATTACCGCTCATGTAATGGTTTGATTAAAAAATTACGACATTAATAAAATGTATGCTATAGTCGCCTAAACCGGAACCCTTATTTTTTAGATTCAAAACTTCGCTGTTATAAGTGTCACTTCTATGATTTGCAATTTTGTTACACAGTCAAAATCAATTAAATGGGGAAGGTCGAACAGAGAAAGTGAAGTCCGTCCAAAATTACTCAGGTCGTTGATACAGTTCGAAATAAGAAGATGGGGTGGAAAAAAAGCGAGTAAACATTTTAATGTGCAAAAGGCAACATTTATGAGATTAAGCACATATAAGTACGGTACCTATCGAAGCAACACAAACAAAAAGAGGCAGATCTACAATATTGGGGAAAAATGTGGAAAAACAGCTAGTCCAATATTTTTGTGCAATGAAACCATCGTTTTTTGGGCTCACTAGAAGTAATTTAAGAAGAATGACCGCGCAATTGGCCCAAAGAAATTGCATTGATGATCCATTTAAAGAAGAAATAGCCGGTAAAAAGTGGGACAATCTATTTCTCTAACGACACAAAACAAAACTGTCACACAGACAGCCCACTAAAACATATTATAGCAGGGCTATTGGCTTCAATAACGAAAATACACCGAAATTTTATCAATTTTTGAGGGTTTGTACGTTAAAATCGTAGACGAGTGCGGAATTATTGGGTTGCAAAATACCCAAAGTTATAGGCCTTAAAAGTAAAAGGCATGTTACTGTCTTGATATCAGGAGAACGTTGGGCTCCTATAACAATTGTTGCTTGTATGAATGCCGCTGGATCTTTCGTCCCTTTTTTAGTAATTTTTCAGAGAAAAAATATGAGTGAACAATTGAAAAAAGAAGCTCCATCAGGAACAATTTTTACAGTGCCCCCTTCAGATGGTGTTCAAATCAACACCGTCACTCAATGGTCCATTCTCCAGAGGAGAAACCTGTGTTGTTACTCTTTGATGGCCAGTATAGAAACACTCAAAATATTGAAGTGATCGATTTGGCAAAAACACACCATGTTACCATTGTGTCGATACCACCTCACTCCTCACACAAATTTCAACCTTTGCACAACAATTTTATGTGTTGTCTCAAAATTTATTACAGTGAGGAAATCAGGCAGTGGTTAAGAAATAAGGAACGGCCACTTACAGCTTTTTACGTAATGAAGCTCTTTGTCAAAGCATACATTAAATATCAAACACCTGAAGTTGCAATAAATAAAATAAAAGTCACAGAAATATATCCACTAAACAAGGAGCTGTTTTCTGATGCCGAATATATTAAAGAAGCAAGCAAAATGCGAGATTCATCTTGCTAAGAATCCATGTCAAAGTAAAAAACGGAGATGAATTGATGATAATGAAAGCTTTACAGGAATCAGTGAATAATATATTGGATGCACGATGGATAAATCACAAGTTAATGCAGAGTTTGAACTGAATTAGGCGACAACATCTTCGACAGATCAGGGCACTCCCGTGCTAACATCTACATTTGACAATCCTGATAGTCCCAAATCGTCTATGGTAAACCCGTTCGAGATCATTCCCATTCCAAAAATAAAAAGAACCACCAGTAGGGGATGAGAAGTTCAACAATCATTACATCTTTGCCATGGAATTTAAAAAAAGCCAAAGAAGCCATGAAAACTGTACAGCAAGAACGTGCTCAAGATTTCAAAAGCAACAGCAACAGAAGACTTTTTTCAGCAGCAGGATCTTCTAGGGTTCGACGACTTCTGCAAATTCATCTCTATCCTGTGCTTTTCTTATCAGGGTTTGAAGCTCTAGTTCTGTCCAACCGTTGATGTTACGCAGCCAGGTCATTTATCATCTGACAGGAGCAAGCTTTACGTCCATTATTAGTTGACGGAAGTTATATCTCTTTGTGTTAGAATATGTTCAAGATGTGTTCCGTTTTTTATTAATATTTAGTTCAGGATCTCTACTCCTACGTCTTAAAACTTCCCTCAATATTCCTCAGCATCCAGGCTTCCATGCCATGTAGTGGGATACTGTGTATATAGCATTTTAAGTATTCAATTGATGGTGGTTTCAGATGTTTTGAACATGAGATATTACGACTGCCATCGTACCCTCCGGATCTAAATAAAATTGAAACAAAAATTTTCTATGGCGCAAGAAATGTCATGCAATGATTAAAATTAAATGACTTTATGAAGTTATCTGATTAGTTTTTTATACATTTCCTGTTAAAGAATGGAAAAGAAATTGTGACAAAGTTGAAGATACCTTTGCTTAGAAGAACCTGTATATAATAAGTAAGTTGTAAAGCAAGTGGTAATGATTAGTTTCTTAAGCATATTACTAATCTGATTTTCCTTGTATATCGTAGTACCAGGAAATAGTACACCTTTTGTTCAATTACTATGTTTTTGATGTAATTGGCTATTAAGTTGGACTAATAGCTTATGTTATTCTTACCTGGTGGCATCTGAGGCATCTGTAAAACAGGTGACATCGTCGGATACATTTCCACTGGAGTACAAGGATTACCATGTTGTGCATAAACACCCATTTCCCCTTGTGCGGCATAATTAACTACAGGCCTCTCTGTCGCAATCGGCGTTTCTGGTTGTTGTACATAATTAACCATGAGATTCTCTGACAATCGTGAATCTGTCATTTTAGGATCACAGTTGTTATTTACTTCAACCTTAAGCATGTGTTGTGGCGTTTCGTGGTAGTTTTGAAGAACTTCTATATTTTCTTGTTCTTGCACTTTTTGTTGATTCTTTGGTGGTGGAGGAGCTTGTAACTCAAAAGGCGGAGATGACCACTGTGGATAACTTTGGGTGGCTTCTACGTGATAGTTGTAATAGTATGGATAATTTACATCTGTAACATAATATACACTTTAACAAAATTTCAGGTTGGAACATTCTAGTTTATTCAAATTTACATCATACATCATCTTGGTTGAGACAACACGCGGCGAGTGTCGGCGTTCGGAAAGCGGCAAATTTGTTAAAAAAAAAATGAATTATACTCAGTGTAAGGTGTTAAAGGATAACCACATGTTTTCATTTTGTCCAGTACCAGCCTCCATCCTCATTTTGTTTGTCCCTGATCGTCATTTGAGACTATACATGCAGTTTTTTGCGTGGCAGTGAATCTCCAGTTTCACCCCCAGAATTTTAAAATAAAAATGACATTCAGTGAAATCCAGATAACTCTTTTTCGTTGAACTTTTTTCATGTCAAAATAAAGAGTTTTTCATTTGTAACATTATAACATTTGTAAATTATAGCCACATAAATTTTCATCTGTTTTGTTAAATAATTGCTTTCATATCAGTTTAAGAAATTGTAATAATTAAAATTATAAATATTAGGTTGTGCTTAAGCTGTCCTATTAATTATTCCCAGAGTTTAGTTTAGACTTTAATATTGACATCTGACAGCTAGTTTTATTTTTTGACAGTTGTTACATATCTAATCATATTTGAGATTTTGTTTTGTTTGTGTTTTTTAAAGAAGGTTAACCACTATTAGTACAGTCACTGAAGGTTTTCACTCCGATTTCGTTGAAACTCCATCGATTTTCATGAAAATTGGTGAGTAGTTAGAGGATACCTTAAGAAAAAAAAGTGACATGGTGTCAACTTGCGCTTTTACTCTGGAGGTGAATGGCACCCCTTGTCGGTTTTTATAAAAGCTTGTTATTAATGGTTTACGATGTTAAAGTTACCGTTGGATTAGGTAACATGGCGACATATGACTCCACGTTGAAGTTGCTAGTCTTGAGACAGTGTGTCTACGAAGACTGTATGGGAGCAATTGCTACCATTATAAGAAAATTTGTAAACTAAATGTAATTAATTATTTGTTAAAGGGTTTTTACCCATATATTTAGTGCCTACATTCATGTACTCTTAGACACTGATGATGGAATATGGATTCCGAAAACGTTTTGTCTTTTTAACTTAGCCCGTTTGGGTTCTAAAGATATACCTTTTACAAAGGATTTTTAATAAATTTTTTAATAAATGTGTAATTTTTTCCCCTAAACCATTTTGTTTGTTTCTTTTAAAAAAGTTTCTAACTCCTTTTTATATTTTTTAGGAAGGAGGAGCCTTTTCTTTCATTGAGCAGAAAGATTTTTCTAAGCGAGGTCCATTTTAAATAGCTTGAGAACCTTCTTGTAATGTGTTTGTCCCAAAGATTGATGTAAGTACCCTTAACTAGAAGGGAAACAAGATGAAGGAAAAGTTTAAGAGTGTTCATATAACTTCTCACCGTACTAATTTAAAATAAATAAATTAAAATTCATATAAAATTAACACGTAAATTCTTACCGTGATAAGGTATAACACTGGGAGTAACAGGGGCAGAGGCTACCATGGGTTTCATGTTATAATTGTACATACTTTGGTTATGATCAGAATGTGTAGGCCAAATGAACGGATCACCAGCCGGAGTCATATATTGTGGCCAATGATATCCGCTTTGACACCAAGTTGCATTGTCTGAAGTTTCATTTTCCCTTTCAATAGTAGCAACCACGTCTTGAGAACCAGTTAGTTCACCTATACCCTCGGATAATGGTTCTGTTTGAGTGAAGCTGATATTCTCTGTAGTATTTTGACTTTGCATTTGCTGAAAAATGTTTTTAATATAAGTTTATTATGAAGTAATACAATAAAATGCGTGTAATATTATTATACAATCGATGTCATGTTCAAAACTAAAAAAAGGGACACCACCAGAGATATTTTAACAGGGGCGTCTTTAATTATCAGTGTTAGTATATACAGAGTGGCCCAAAAGTCTAGAAACGGCTAATTATCTCGTAAAATGCTAATCATAATTGTACAAAATTTTAGGTACACTTATTTTGGGATACGGAGATTCCATATTTGATATTTACAATGTTGCCAGATTTGTCGTTTTTCTTATATTATTAGTAACTTTGGTTTTTCAAATACATCACCCTGTATATTCAGTCATTATTGGAATCTCCTATTCAATACGAGTTCAACCATATGTAACACTTATGTCATAAATACATAAAACCGAAGTCTGGCAACGCCTAAATTGTTTCAATAAATTTTTTAATGCTAACTATTTTCAAATACATTAAAACGTAACAATAATTGATAGTTTAGAACATTTTTTACCATAGTAGTTACGTTATTAAGTGTTCAAAATGTGCTCAATTTGTGAGTTGACAGCACCCTAATCGATGGTAGAAGGCATCTACCACATTTCTCCATGATTGTCTAGAAATTATTCGAGATTCATTGATAATTCGTTGCCTTAGCTCTGCAAGACTTGCTGGTTAAGTTTTGTAAACTAAATTTTTCAAGTATCCCTAATAAAAATAATCTTTAGGATTGAAATCGGGTGAACGTGGAGGCCATTCAATTCTACCTTGTCTACCATTTTATCGTCCAGGAAATATCTCATCTAAATATCGCCGAACATTTACACCAACTATCTGACGTTAAATTTCTTTCGACAAAAATGACCCAATTGAATAAGTGACTACTATATCTGACCATACAATTAATTTTTGTGGTCTTTGAGTATGGTTTTCACGCATTCAGTCTTCAGTGTGAATTTACGTCACACCAGTACCTTAAATTGTGTCGATTTACACTTCCACACAGTATAAAAGTTGCTTCATCGGAAAAACATATTCTGTTAACGAAATTTTAATAATTTTCAATTTTATCCATCATTACCTCAGTAAACTCTAATCTACGACCAAAGTCATCTTCACTTAATGCTTGCAATAAGTTAATTTTGTATGATTTAAATTTATTTTTACGTAATAAACCTAAGACTGAAGAATAACCTACATTATGTACTTGTGCAACCCTGCCTGGGGATGTATGTGGATTTTCAACAAAACTTTGCTTATATCTGAAGTTTTGTTGTCATTCATAACTCGTTTCGGTCAACCTGATCGGTATATATCTTTTACTTCTCCAGATTCCTCAAATCGCCTTACAGTTTTTTGTACCGTCGTCTTATGAATAGGAGAACGGTTTAGAGAACGGCATTTTAGAGAAGCAATTTAAATTGCAGAACTTTTTGAACCACAACTACTGTCAATTTTAGTTCATAATTTAAATGGTGAACAAATGTCAAAATCACAGCATTCTCCATTTAAATATTTAAATTTATTAAAATCTACATAGTTTGCACTGTTTTATGTATTTAAGATCTTTCAGACTACATAAAATCAAGTGAACATATGGTTGAACTCGTATTGAATAGCTGAACTCGTGTGAAATTCACACTGAATGCGTGGAAAACCATACTCAAAGACCACAAAAATTAAATGTATGGTCAGTTATAGTAGGTACTTATTTAATTGGGCCATTTTTTATCGAAAGAAATTTAACGTCAGATAGTTGGTGTAAATGCTCGGCGTTATTTAGATGAGATATTTCCCGGACGATAAATTGGTAGACAAGGTAGAATTGAATGGCCTCCACGTTCACCCGATTTCAATCCTTAAGATTATTTTTATTAGGGATACTTGAAAAATCCAGTTTACAAAACTTAACCAGCAAGTCTTGCATAACTAAGGCAATGAATTATCGATGAATCTCGAATAATTTCTAGACAATCATGGAGAAATGTGATAGACGCATTCTACCATCGATTAGAGTGCTGTCAACTCACAAATGGAGCACATTTTGAATACTTAATAGCGTAACTATTAAGTTAAAAAATATTCTAAACTATCAATTGTTACGTTTTAATGTATTTGAAAATAGTTAGTATTAAAAAATGTATTGAAACAATTTAGAGGTTGCCAGACTACTATTTTATGTATTTAAGACCTTCTAGACTACATAAAATTATAAATGTTGGAGATTCCAATAATGACTGAATATACAGGGTGATGCATTTGAAAAACCAAAGTTACTAGTAATATAAGAGAAACTGAAAATCTGACAACATTGCAAATACCAAATATGGAATCTCCGTATCCTAAAATAGGCGTATCTCAAATTTTGTACAATTATGATTAGCATTTAACGAGATAATTAGCCGTTTCCAGACTTTTGGGCCACTCTGTATATTTAAGTGTATTTCAGCATTATAAAAGTGAAAGCGACAATTGGTTTGTCAAATCCATTTAAGAAAAACAAAGGTCTGAAACAGGGATGTTGTCTCTCACCGAATCTATTTAAAATATACTTGGAACATGTCTTAAAACTCAGAAAGAGAAACAACATATAGTATGTTTTGCGGATGATCAAGTGATATTAACCCAAGAACATGAGGATATAGAATATATGACTCACAAACTAGTCGAATAATACAAGAAATAGGACCTTGGGGTAAATATGAACAAAACTGAATATATGAATCGATCATTTCAAAAACAACATGAGTCAGAAATTATAGTTTTGAATTAATCACAAAAAACTGTTTTTAAAGCGCTGTAAGAAAAAATACTTTAAAATTGTACATTATGCATTAGGTGCACATTTTTTTGTAAAATTATGTTTTTTCAGAGAAGCAATAAAAAAAATAATCTTTTTTTGGAAATTTTATTTTCTTTATCAAATGTCATATACCGAAAAAGCATTTATCATCATTAATTGCATCAGTAGTTGGTTTTAGGATTTTAGTAGGATTATAAAGTGTATCATCATCATCATCATCAGTAGCTCGACAACCCTTTCGGGGTCTGGCTTGTTCTAAGATTTTTCGCCATTCTGTTCTGTTCCTTGCTTTGTTTTTCCACTTGGTGATCTTAATTGTTTTCAGATCTTGTTCCACTTGTTCCATATATGTAAGTTTGGTCTTCATTTTGACCTTCTCCCTACTGGTGTTTGCCTGATTATATGTTTTGGTGTTTCATTCTCCGACATCCGTTCAACATGGCCCATCCAGCGCAGACGTCCGATCTTTATGGATGTTATGACCTCGGGTTCATTGTATGCTGTCTATAGTTCAAAATTATATCTTCTGCGCGATATGTCATTTTCTTTCACCCCCTTATATATATTATACAGTGTATAATCTCTTCAAAAAAATGCGAAATATTTTCCGATGCCAACAAGTCCCTGGTTGGGTTGAAGAATAAAAAAATTGTAGTAGTTCGAAATCTGAAAATGATTTTTTTATCCTTCTCTTGTTTTCTGTCTATTGAGTCGGTAGACAAACATATTTTTTTTGTAATGTTTGTGCCACCACTGTTTAAGTTCGAAAATATTCAATGTTTGCACCATTTTAACAACAAACTTTTTGTGCCATGTAGAATTTACTATCATTTCTGTATATTCATTTCTGTATATTCATCTGACCGTGGTAAACACGGTCAAAGTTTCTATCGTTCGACAAAAAGGACTGGCCAAATCCAGTACTGGTTTATGGTGACAAAACTTCCAGTTTCTGCTAACAAAAGTACAAATCTCACTACGGTATGATTCCAGTTTTGACCGGCACAGTTAAAGTAGAGTGAAGAAAAGAGTACAGTAAAAAAATTGATAGCTCAAACAAGTCTAATAGAAGTAATGCAAAGAGAAATAAAAGCATACTCAGTGATGACAGTAACAGTGACATTGAATTGTCTGATGTTGTGCATTCCGACGATGTTAGTCTATTTTCAGAAGTAGATGAAATGTCTGACGAAGACATATCCTCACGAATGGTGGAAGTGAATTCATTTATTCTCGTGAGGTTTCAAACAAAAATTTTATGTTGCACAAGTTACAGAAGTTTTTCTTGTGGTCAAGAATACAATGTAAATTTTTTAAGGCGTCACGAAATACAATTTTCATTTCCTACAGTTACAGATTCTGCCACAATTACAAAGGAAGATGTTGAATTCATTTAACCCAACCAAAAAGTGTTGGAGCAACACAAAGAACAGTAAATTTGTTAACTTTTATAGCGGAGTAACATCTTATAATATTTGTAAAAATATAAGAATTGCAAATAATGACCACTGTACCTTACCTTTGTGGCCACTGTACCATCTAGTTTGGTACCGTGACCAGATTTAAAAAAAAAAAACAAAATTAGTTACTACTGCATAACCTGTATTTTTTTGGGATTACAGAGTACATTTTTAATTTACCAAGTGCTTTGACGTTTCGAGTTGATACCCATTAATATATTATGACTTATATTAAAGTTATCTTGAATTTACTCGAAAAGTGGCCACTGTATCAGCCTCTCCCTTACATTTCCTAAAAAATGTGTCATTGTGTACCAGTCTCTCTCATACCAATATCTTATAAAATGTGTTTAGAAGCGTCATTGGATGGTCGTTTTATTAGTAGTTTCTTCTTCTTCTGGTTCCTATCCGTTTCGGATGTTGGAAATCATATTGGCAATAATAACCTTGCTCGCTGCGGCTCGAAACAGCTCCGTTGAGGTTTTCTTAAACCATGTTCTTAAATTCCGCAGCCATGATATTCTCCTTCTACCGGGCCCTCGCTTACCTTTGACTTTACCTTGCAATATAGACTGTAGAAGGGAGTAATGGTGCTGATTTCTCATAACGTGTCCCAGATATTGCAATTTTATGCGTTTGATCGTAAACACAATCTCTGGTTCCTTCTTCATTTTTCCTAGAACTTCCTTGTTCGTGATCCTTGCTGTCCATGATATTCTCAGCATTCTTCTATAAAGCCACATCTCAAATGCTTCAAGTTTTTTAATAGTGGTGTCTGTAAGCGTCCATGCCTCCGCCCCGTACAACAACACAGAGAAAACATAGCATCTCAAATGTCTCATTTTTGTATCAAGGGATATGTTGTGACTTTTGAAGATGACGCTCATTTTGTTAAAGACCGTTCTTGCCTTTCCTATGCGGCACTTTATTTCCTGTAAATTGCTCCACTGTTCGTTAATAATAGTTCCCAGATAACAATACTGTTTTACTCGCTCTAGTAGTTTACCTCCACTTAATGCTAATGTAAAATCAATCCTTCAACAAGCTGATGTGTATGTGGGAATTTTGGAACTAGAAATATTACGTTTGGATAACTGAGTATTGTTAATAAAGGACAAAGGCAACTTCTACACACCAAATATGTACCAGAATTGCTGATGAAGAAATTTTAATAAAAGAAGGCAAATGAAATGTTCGTATGTATCGTATAAAAATATGTAGAAATCAAATCGTGAATTTAAAAAAAGTAATAGAACTAGAATTGTAAAAAGAAATCATGTAGAATGGACACAAAATTGTCATATATGATTATAGTTTACACTTCTTCAAAATATATAGGTTTGTAGTAAAAATATATCACCGAATTTATCGAATCCTTTCGTACCAAGGGAATTCCTACGTATGCCTCTATGTTTTCAATTGGTTCATGCTTCACTACAGCTCCGGCAGACATTACACTGCTCTCACTTTTAGTTCTCTTCTTTTCTTTAGTGTTTCTCTTTTTTGTTTTAGAATTATTTCTATCCGATGTGGGACTAGTAGGAGTGATGACAACGCTTTTTGAGAACCTGAAAATGTAAAGTTTATTATAACCATAAACCTATAAATATTGATAAAATCGCAATGACACAAAAACCTGTGTTAAGTCAGATATAGCATATCCAATTTAAAGACTGAAACATAAATGAATAGATTAGTATTAGAGGAAGTGACAAAAAACGTTCGAGATCAAATGATAAAACTTTAATGGAAATTTATAGCCCTTCATACCATTCAATATAAGGATATGGTAAAAACGATAATTTATTGGCGATTATGGTGATATTAATTTAATTAACGCATTATGATGCATTATTCCGATATTAACTTATGCGGCACAAACATGGACAATCACAAAAAAGAATATGAATATACTTAGAGTCACTCAACACGCGATGGAAAGAGCAATGCTAGGTATATCACTTAAGGACAAGAAAACAAACACATGGATAAGACAGAAAACCAAAGTCACCGATGTGGTGCAAAAAGCATTAAAGCTGAAATGGGAATACGCTGGACATGTAGCTAGGAGCGATCTAAACAAATGGCACAGATCAATTTTAACCTGGACACCATACCAACACAAAAGACCCAGAGGCAGACCTCCTATGAGATGGACAGATGATCTGAAAAGGACTGCCGGGAAAAATTGGCTACAAGTAGCGTACAATAAAAAACAATGGAAAGGAAGACTTGAAGAGGCTTATGTTCAGATGTGGACGTGAATGGCTAGACGAAGAAGAAGAAGAAGAATGGTGATATGGAATAAGAAATGTGGAAATTGTAGACTTATTAGTTTGATGAACCATGCCGTTAAAATACTGTTGCATATCCTTCTAACAATAGATGATGACAACTTCAGAATTAACAATAAATGTGAGGAAATAATTGGTCAAAAGCAGTTTTGGTTGAGGAGATTCCTTGGAACTAGAGAAGTTATTCCCTGTTTAAAATTAAGGGTTCGTGGTACTTGAGGGGAGGGTGTTGACAGATGACAAATGTCTATATCGTTAAAAGATGACCCCCTTGGAATAAAAGCCGACTTTTTTCAGCATTTTCACAAAATACAATGAAAATTGCCAAATTTTAGGGTGGACTATTTTGAGTGGACATCCCTGTATATTAGAAATATAATAGTCGTTAGTATTAAGTCCAAGAAACACTGGGTTTCTCTTTTATTAAAAACTGCTGGGTTTCTTATTGAGACCTTCTTAGAATCAAAACACTTTAGAACAATAAGAAGAACAGGAGATAGAACGTAGATTTAGTAATCTACGTTAAGACAATTTATTCTTACTATAAATACCTACTTCGTGACGGTGTAGTTTCCAAGAAGGAGAGGATCTGAATTGAGTAGGGGCTCTTCAGTACTTCTTGGAAAACATACTCGGAGGGGGGTAGATCTCGACCTCAACACGGCGCGTCCCAATGGCTGATAGGAAATGCCCTACATTTGGGATAGGTGTAAATAAGGCTTTGCCGAATAAACACCCGCGGATCAACTTAGCATAGCATAGGGCAGCAGCTATGTCATTACAGGATCGGAGCGGTAGAGAAAAATCTCTTTACCGATCTGATACTGAATAATAACAGGCGGTAATTATGATTTAACCGGTTGTGATACTGCGAAGTAACCAAACGATTACCGGGAAAAGTAATTCCCCATTTGTTGGTCAACAGCTACGGGTGGGAGAACTTACATGTGGTAGGGCACTTTATTGCCCTGGAGCTGAGAAATTGACTCCAAAGGCGGAATAGCTAAATTAGCCAAGGGCATTGAGATGTGGAAAGCCACGGGATGACTACCACATTAAAGATCCGGATATCCCCAGGACATCACAATGACTGAAAATCCAAAACAAACGGCTCTCCGTCCCGGGCACCCCTTAAGTGGGGAGAGGGTGCTGAGAATCCCCCGGTTAGCCAATAATGTCCCAAAAGTTAAAAGGATCGGTACGAGGAACATTCGAAGCATGTACCAATCAGGCAAAGCAGCAAATACTATTCAAGAAATGACTCGCCTGAACATAAATATTTTAGAATGCAGTGAAGTTCGATGGCCAAATTCTGGAATAAGAATTATAGATGAACACCATATCTATTATTCTGGAGATGACACAACAAGAAACAGAAATGGCGTAGCGATAGTAATAAAAAGGAAAATAGCTACAGCAGTAATAGGATTTACGCCCATATCAGACAGAGTTGTGCTATTTAAAATTAACTCAAGTCCCTCTAATATAAACATCATTCAGGTCTACGCACCGACATCAGAATCCACTGAAGAAGAAATAGAAAACTTCTATCAGACTTTCTAAAACTGACCAAAAAACATGAACTTACTATTATCATGGGCGATTTCAATGCCAAAATAGGTCAAGGTACAGTCGAGAATGTCGTGGGATCATATGGTCTTGGCATAAGAAACGAAAGAGGAGAAAGACTAATCCAATTCTGCCAAGAGGCGGACATGGTTGTAACGAATACACTTTTTAAATTACATCCAAGCAGACTTTATACATGGAAAGCACCCGGTGATACCCCAGGAAAATCATAAGAAACCAAATTGATTTTATCATCATAAACAAAAGGTTTAATTCCATCACCTCAACAAAAACATATCCAGGCGCAGATGTCTTCTCAGAGCATAGACTATTGGCAATTGAACCTTTATATGGCCTTCTCAACACCATTTCTTCTGCTTGCTCTGTCATGGTAGACAACTCCATACTTGCCATGCTACTCCTATCAAATTCAGGCGATTGGGCATCCCTAACACGACCTAAACAGTCAGGACCGGACATAGATCTATTCAAATGATTGCTTTGCATCAGCCATGTGTCCTCCTTACTTAAAGATGGAGATAAAAGAGGAACTTTGTCTTGACTATTAGTACCATTGGTTAGTGGGGCTTTCAAGGTGCTATCTGTGTATCTAGTGTCATTTCTAATGGTCACATCTACGCTGTCATTCCTTATAGTTTGTGATACACTCTCAGTCTTAGTGCTATTGCTAGAATCACTTGAACTCTCAGTACTAACTTGTGAAGGTAGGGTAACAGGCATAGTCTGGTAAATGTGTTCAGAAACATTCACTTTTCTTTCTACACAAAGCAGTTCTTAACATCTAATTTGGAAGGCAATGTCACAGTTTTTATAACATGTTGCGGAGAAGAAGAAGCACTATCAGTCACACTTATATCTAGAGATTCAGATCCACTCTCAATACCTGTATCAGACCTTGTAAGATCCTCAGAACAACTTGATATTTCGTTATAACTGCTATCCCTTGATATGTTTTGGATGTCATCATCACTGTTATACTCTGGACTGGGTGATCTGTACGAATTTCTCTTTCTAACAGTGACTACAGTACTCTGGTCATCATTTTCTTTAAGATGAATCACTCCTTGGATGCCCCAATGAATTCTTAATGAACCTTCCAGAATAAATCTACCATTTACTTCTCTAGACCTAATTTCCCCACTCTTACCCTAAAAAACTGATTATAACCCTTGATTTTTGACTCCAAATGAGACCTAGGAAGAACAGGGCCATTATTGAACTTTGGTGAGCTATTCTGGGTATCAAAACTCTTATGAGATTCTACTCTAGTTCCGTGGCCGAACAATGTTCCGTCGTGTTAGGGATGCCCAATCACCTGAATTTGATAGGAGTAGCATGGCAAGTATCGAATTGTCTACCATGACAGAGCAAGCAGAAGAAGTGGTGTTGAAAAGGCCATATAAAGGTTTAACTGCCATAAAACTAAGGCCTGGAAAACGATTGTCAACATAGACTATTGGTTGCAAATATCAACACACGACTAAAAATAATTCATAGGAAAATGTGGCCCAAGATAATAAGACTATATATATCCGGTTTTTAAGGCGTTACGCCCGTCCGGTAGGGATCTATGGAGGAGTATCACCGAGCCGCAAGCCCTTATCTCTTGCCGTACTGCTCCACCATAGGCCGATCAGATCCCAGCATATCCTAGTCTAAGCCGCAGATTCATCTAGAATTTTAAACTGCTGCGTTAGACTTTTTGTTTTCTGTACACCGAGCTGGGGCTCGATCCCACATCCACTGAACCATTCGACAGTGAAGCGAATGAGAGGCAGCCGCACAGCCCGCTGAGCTATCTGACCGACAGATAGATAGATAATAAGACTACTAAAAGAAAATGATACCCAGAAAAAAGTAAAACAGAAATTAATAAGAAATTTGCGAAAATAGTTGAAGACACTACTAGAGGTATAAAAGAACAGTGGAACCAAATGAAGACATCTATCACCACAATTTCGCATGAATATGTAAAATCAAAAAGAGAAAAGAAGCAAGAATGGATGACAGATAGAATATTGTAGATGATGGAAGAGTGAAGATAATTAAAGGGTAGAAATGACAACGAATACAAAAAGTTGCATAAGACTATACTAAAGGAGATATAAGGAGCAAAAGAACCATGGCTGACGGAAAAATGTATGGAAGTTAAAAAACTACAACGCAAACATGACGATTTCCATATGCACAAAAAAATTAAAAAGGTACAGAACACCATAAAACAACGCAATATAGGCATAATTGTAGACATTGAAGACCAAATTTTGACTACCATTGAAGATAAATTACGAAGATGGAAAGAATATATGCAAGAATTATTCGAAGATGTAGCACGAAATCCGACTGAAATAAACAACCCCTACGCCCAAGAAATAACAAACGAAGAAGTAACTATGGCCATTAAGCGAATTTAAGATGGGAAATCACCAGGACCTGATGAGGTGCATGGTGAAATTTTAAAGCTATTAGAATCACACCAAATCACAGCTCTTAAGCCGGCCACTTACGGTACAGCGGTGTCGTTCGACATAATCGGACAGCGGCGTTGTTCAATTTGTTGGCATATATGGTACACCCACACACCGCACTGCGCCGCAGTATTTGTTCGGTTCTCGACCATGTCAAATCAAAAATCATTTTAGCGTCTCTTACTTTGTGTATAACTAAGTGTAAATAGAAACCTAAAATGAAGATTTTGGTGGAAAGAATGCAAGATTTTTGTTCAAAATAAATCTCGTCTGTTTCTGCACCTGATTTACTTGACTGCAATACTAATTTTAATTCTCTTTTATAGGACGTTCTAAAATTGTTAATTTTTTTTCTTACATACTCTTCATTCGCATCTTTGTTTACTTCTTGGAACTTTAAAATTAGAATGTCCATTGCCTGTTTTCGATCGTTTCTCTCGTGATACGTTTTACCTTTAATTCGCCATAAGTATTCTTGTTCTTTATATAATTCAAAAAATTCTCTCAAAAAATTCTTACTAAATGAAGCTATGTCGATTTTCTATATGATCAAAGCAGGTGTGTAGTTAAAAATATATTTTTGCAGTATCGACAAATTGTAAACGGTCACACACGCTCAACAAATTGATGAAATCAACTCTGCAGGACTGCTGCAGACAGGCCAGTCTGTCTGCGGTCAACTTGTACGATTTCATTGGATGCACGGTAATACACGATCAAAATCCTTGTCAATTCGTCGAACTCGACGAATTTGAACAACGCCGATGTATCGGGAGTGGCCGGCTTTATGTAGCTATTCAACAACATCTACAAGACTGGTTACTTACGAAAAGACTGGCTACTATCAATATTGATTCCACTTCCTAAAAAAGCCAACGCTAAAAAATGTAAAGAACATAGATTAATTAGATTGATGAGCCATGTACTTAAAGTACTCCTTACTATCATTCACTCAACTGAGTGAAGTTCAATTTGGATTCAGAGCAGGACTAGGAACGAGAGAAGAACTTTTTAGTTTGCAAGTTCTAATACAGAGAGCCAGGGATGTCAACTGCGATGTGTATGCATGTTTCATTGATTTCGAGAAGGCATTTGATAAAGCCTAAAAACATCAGGACTCGATGGTAAGGATATAAGACTGATCTCAAACTTATATCTCCAACAAAAAGCAACAGTACGATTAGAAAATGAACTGTCCGAGATCTTCACAGCCGAAAAATAAGTTAGACAGGATTGCATATTGTCACCGGCATTGTTTAACATATACTCTGGAAACATCTTTAGAGAGGCCTTAGACGAATCAGAAGATGGGATTGCTGTAAATGGCCAACTTATAAACAACATTAGATATGCAGACAATACAGTGTTGCTGGCAGATAGTGTGCAGGGGCTCCAAAGGATGATGGAAAACGTTGTAGAAGCATGTATCAAATACGACCTAAAACTAAATTGCAAGAAGACAAAAATACTGATTATTAGTAGGAACACCGGCTTAAACGCCCAAACTACAATTAACGATACACCGTTAGAAAGAGTGGGAAAAATATCCTATTTGGGCATGGGCATATATATTAAGGATACTTGAGATCACAGCTACGAAATAAAAACTCGTATTAAAAAGCCAGAAGCTCTTTCAACAGCCTAAGGAAGATTCTCGGCAACTTATCTTTAAGTATCAATATACACATAAGAATTCTTAGATGTTACGTCTTTAGTGTCCTCCTCTATGGAGTAGAAAGCTGAAACCTTCCAGAAGATGCCATAAAACGATTAGAGGCATTTGAAATGTGGTGCTACCAACGTATGTTGAAGGTCTCATATATAGACCACACACCACAAGTAACATAACTATTCTCCACAGGCTAGGAAAAGAAAAAGAAATTATTAACACCATAAAAAACAGAAAATTGGGTTACTTCGGCCACATCATGTGTAATGATAAATACCGACTTCTACAGTTGATTCTACAGGATAAGATTGAGGGTAAGAGAGGCCCTGGACGTAGACGTATATCCTGGCTGGCCAATCTTAGGAAATGTACTGGTCTAACGTCAACTGATCTATTTCGAGCTGCTGTGAATAGAATAAGATGGCTCAATGTGGTCGCCAACATCTCTAGAAGATAGGCACATAGCAATTAGTCAAAATGTTAAGTCTAAACTTACCGGTGTATATTCTATACTAACCTGTACGGTAACGGCCAAGGTTTAGCATCATCTTCTGGAGATAAATCAGTATAATTAACGGTACGCTTCTGGGCTAATTTTGTGATGTAAACAACACATTGGTTTTGGTCTTTAATCATTTCCTGAATATAGCATTCATATTTTTCATCTCCATTCATATCGTTAAAAATACATTTTGTACCCAGAATAAGTTTGTCGTCTCCATAATACCATTCCCCTAGGCGTAATTCTAAAAACATAATATTGTTAATTACTATCAAGCAAATCCACAAGTTACATAAACTATGCTTTGGGATGGTGCTAAAAAGAATGATAATAGGGTAAAGTATAATTTTAAATACAAAAAACAATCAAGTATACTGCTACGCCATCTCGCACTAACATAGCTAACACCCTGCTATTTCTGGTGCCAGAAGTGGAATAAATTCTGTGAAAACTGACTACGAGAATTAGTAATTTAAATGTGACCGATTTACGATGTGATGGAAGATGGAGAATTAAATTCTGTTGGAAAAAAGTCTGAATTAGTACAAGGGCTCAAGAACGCCCTGGAAGAAACTGACCCAGAAACGAAAGTGTTTGAGAATAAGCATGCTGCTGTGATTTCGAAAGTTTCTTCCGATGTAGCCAAAGTTTCCGGTAATATCACATCGTCGGAAAGCAAAGTTTCTGTAACGTTTCTACTGACAGTGTTTCTTTATCAAATAAAGTCACTTCTGCGATTTCTTCGATTGACGATAAAGTATCTTCGTTGGTAAAAAAGTTGCTGCCGATATTTTGTCTTTTGAAGATAAGATAAAAGAGAACGAAAAGATTTTCTCTTTTGAACAGAAACTGAAAGACATTGAAAATAAGATGGAGGAAACAGGGACAGCAGACAGAGGAATTCGATCAAATACAGCTGAGGAAAAACACGAGGAGACAAAATGTAATTTGGAGCCACGGGCGACATTTGAAGAGAGTAAAGGTTCTATCATGGTAAAGTCCCAACTTTCAAAGCAAAATCGTCACGGAATATCTAAATAAAACAGTTCCAATCAGCTGAAGGAACAAACAAATGGTCCAAAAAAGAAAATGCTGTAAACATTGACAATTGCTCTTCGAGGAGATGCTTTGGATATGCTTCAGACCATAGCCGTAAAGAAGACAGATGATTTCGACAAATTTTAAAGAACACATGGATCATATCTACCAACCGTAGCACAAAAATCAAAGATAAAAGCGACATGAGGCTCTTCAAGAATATGAGGTAGATATTACCAGGTTAGTTCGATATGCTTATCCAACAGCTCTTTTGAAGACATGATGAAAAAGTTGGCCTGTTTAAACATTTATTAATGGTCTTCTTGATCATGAAATGCGTGTGATTAGCTCGTCACAAAACACTGGTAGATGTGGAATATGAATCAGATACGCAGTTTTCTGGCGGGTACTGTAAAGTTAGGAATGAAGAAGACGATGAAGACAAATTTAACTATCTTGTTAAGCTGATAAAAGGCATTGCATTCCGAGCAAACAAAGACCATAAATACCATCTCATACTAATAGCTTCTTTAAAATGTCGTGAAAATAGTATATACGTAGATATAGTATATACGTAGATGCCGAAATAAATTGTAAAACGTATACATTGTTGCTGAATACCGGAGCGATAAAAACCATTATATGCCCGACAATTAGAAATAGCCGTAAGAAACTTTCACCAACGTGGTGGCGACTGCGAACTGCCATAGGTGAAATACCAACATCTATGAAAAAATTCATCCATACCAATATAATTCATCGAAGAGGATATTATATTAAAAATTGACGTAATGCATTTGTATGGATATCAATGGGATTTTAAGAATAAGGTAATCAAATAATCAAAATAACGAAGAGATATTTCGTAGATATATGTAGACAGAACTATGCAAGCAGCTGTTAAAGAAGATATTGTTGTATCTGCGAGAAGGGAAATAATCATAAAAGCACCGGTAAAGGGAATTGTGATAGAGCCTTGGAACCATGACGAGAAAGTTGGCCGAAAAATTATAATTGGAAAGAAATTTTTTACTTCTGCTAAAGAAATTCCTGTAAGACTTAAGAATCTAAATGATTACCATCAGACCATCACAAGAGAAAACAGCAGGAACATGTGTACTAGTGACGTCCATAATTCGTCAGACGGCAGCATTCCGTAATTCCAACGACAAATTAGACAAAATAATTGCAGTTGCTGGCCAGTCTCTAAAATCGGAGAAAAGGACATTAAGGGAATTTCTTCGGCGGTCTCGTGACATCTTCCTACCAAAAGGAGGAAAGAAAGGAAGAACTAGTTGTCAAACATAAAATCGATACCGATAATGCCAAACCAATTTGTCAAACAGCTTGTCGATTACCACAGGCGAAGAGAGAGGAAACTGAAAGGATTGTTCGAAAAATGAAGATAAACAGGGTGATAGAACCTTCTATGGGTCTCTCCGGTGGTCCTGGTCAACAAAAAAGGTTCTGTATGGACTGCTGTTTGTTGAACAATGTTACTAAGAAAAACAGTTATCTTCTGCCTTTGATTAGCGACACTTTGCATACATTGGCTGGAAGTAAATTATTTTCTACTTTGGACTTAAAGTTCGGATATTGGCAGATAGAAATGAACCCAGCATGAAAGAGAAGCTAGTCTTCACTACAGATTCTGACAATTCAATATTATGCCATTTAAACTCTGTAAGGCTCCTGCGACATTTGAAAGGGTTTTAAAAAATATGTTGAGGGTTTTCTTGGAAAATGTGCCTGGTATATTTAGATGACATATTAGTTTTCGGAGAGGATTTTAAAGAACATCTGAAGAATTTGGAAAATGGTTCTAATCAACTTAAAGCTGCCCAATTGATGTTAAATCCTAAGAAGTACTAGCTACTTCAAAGAAAAGTCAATTCTCTGGGCCATATAGTCAGTAAAGAAGGAGTGATGGATTCGACCGTTACTTGATGGAAATTCATTTTATCTAACAATATAACACTTGAAAACTTTTGTTTTCAACACTTCCACAAAATTTATTTTAAATTATTATCACTACAGCTGTTATGGCCAAAGTGCCTTTCTCAAGTGATTTATTGTTGGCATGTGTTTACATTTTATAGTTTTTAATTGAATAAGTTGAGGAGGGGACAAGTTTTTGTCCCAAGTTGGTCATTCAGAATTAAGTCTGTATTTTTTAGTTCGTTGATTTCCATAGATAAAGACAGCTGAGGGCCTTTATTTTAAATGTGCAGAATTTGAAATTCATCATTAAAAGAATGATTATGGTCTATAATTAGTGGGTAGTAGCAGAGAACTACGAAAGTTCTCTGGTAGTATGGTCTTATAGAAGGCATTACAAATATGGCGATAAAACATGACGTGTTGACTTAAATTACATAAAAAATGAATATCTATATTATATATCATAAACTAACAAAATTATATTACTACAATAACTAATGTATTATATAACTAATATGTTATATTATATTAATACAATAACTCTCGTTATAACTTTTGATTTTTTTATAAAAAAAAATATTTTTAATACACTATATTAATACACATTATAATCAGTTCCTTATTCGGTTATTAAGGTTAATATTAAAGCTATATCGTCTAAATGAAATAAAAATGAGACTTATTAAATATACTTGTGTTGGGTATAATCAAAAATGAAATAATAAACTAGAGAATGAAAACCAAATAGAAAATGGACGACGAAAAATTACAGATGTTTCGGTCAATGTAACTGACAATAAAGCATTATACCTATGTTTTAGAAAGTAACGACGAGTATGATTCTTACCTCTTCTTGTCTCGCCCCATGAGTCATACTCAATGTTCCTATAGATATTGGGATCTAGAGCCTTCGCAATCTTGAACGGAAAAGGTGCAATACTGGCAATTGGGTTAATATTAAATAGTTTTTCGTCTAATTCTTCGTTTGTTAAGTCTTCGGTTTCAGATTCTTTGATAATCCTCTTTTTCTCCATCATTAATTCCGCTTGAGTAATTATATTTCCTTTATCATATAACATATTGTGAACTATGTCATCGACATTTTGAATTCCAAAAATATCTTCGTAAAGAATTTTATATACTATAGCTAAAATATAAAAACACATTCAATAACAATTCTAAGTCTCACATTAAGCTGAATTATGATAGCTCTATTTCTTTTTTACTTTATATACTGTTACATTTTACTGTGGACTCAGGGATTAAATAAAACAAACGCGGTTTAACCAACTTGATTTCATCTCACTAAATTACAAAAACTCACTAATTTACCAATATAAATTCTAATTAATTATCTTATAATTCACAATTCGCCGATACTGATAATACTTTATCAAAGCCTTAGTGGCTTATGTAATAAAAACTTCCAACGGTTCTAGAAATAGCTAGCAGATGACGGTTCATTCCTATGCGAATAAGCCGAGATTCTCGAATGTTGTCGATAAAGAGGTTAACTAGGCTTTTCGAATTACTTTTACGCCAGGGCCACAACTAAGCCGTTGTGGTCGTTGGATTCTGCCTTTATAAGGATATAGTCTTTCCAGACTGACGACTTTAGCTTACTTCTGGAGAGGACACAGCATGGAACGCTTTTGAAAATATTGAGAATCAAAGGTACCTGGTAGAGACCTACGTATCATTGAAAACTTACATTGGAAGCAGAAATCAGTCGCACGAGTCGATGGGAGATTAACCGACGAATGTTACATTCAAAGAGGTGTCAGACAGGGATGCATTATATCCCCGCTTTTATTTAATATCTAGTCAAATATAATTTTCAAACAGGATTTAGAAGATCAAGACTTTGAAGTGAAAATAAATGGTGAACTGATTAATAATCTTAGGTACTTACGAAACTGTTATCTTATGTAATAATCTCCAGGACCTTCACGAGTTATTGGATTGCGTAAACACGCCAGGAAGACAAAATTTATATTTATATGTCCACGACAATGACTCCCTAGCTAGAGATAGATAAATAAAACATTTCGAGAGTTACTTTAACTCTCCGTTAGTACTGTGTGGCCCATTAGACCTTACCTCACAACAAAATTAAAATTTAAATATTTACGCATATTGCAGATATCTGGTGTTCCTAATAACTTCCTAATACAGGAATTACTTTGAATATACCTATATACATATATTTATATAACTCAACATTTATTCTTCGTCTTACGAAGGAGTGAGCTTTCCTCTCGAAAATGATAGAATAAATGTTGGAGAAGAATGAAGGAGCTTTTTGAAAGCAGCGATGATGGACAAGAAGTAGACCTTTACAGAAAGTTCACGGAGGAGAAAAATAACGAAATTCCAGGTGAAGAGTTTGTGGGGAAAGACAAAAAAAACTAAGTGGAAGAAAATAGGAAATTCTCGAGCACCTACACGTAAACATAATATTATAAATCAGAAAACATGACTTGAAGGACCTTGTCATGATTTATTTGATGATGTTGCTATTTGTGAGTGCTTCATATCCACTGAAATGTTGAATTTACTTGTTGAGTACACAACTATTTATATTCACAATAACAAGGAAAAATATTCAGAATCCAGTAAAGCGAAGTATACTGACATTCACAATTGATCGATGAGAGCGTGCATCGTATTGATATACTTAGCAGGTTTTTCCAAGTCAAATAGGTTTAACTTGGAAGGTCTTTGAGCAACTGCTCTGGAAACATCTGAACAGGTATGAAAATTTTTCATTTGACTAAGACTCTCCAAAGATTCAGATTTCTTCTAACTTGCTTACGATTTGACAATATACACTCAAGAACTGAAAGACGGCGTTTTGATAAGCCGCGCCAACTGGAGAATTTTTGAATTGTTTGTCAAGAATTGTAGAAACTGTTATACTCTAACTGAGCTCGCGAATATTGACGAAATATTGCCCGCTTTTTAGGGAAGATGCTAATTTAGGCAATATATACCTAATAAGCCTTCAAAGCAGGATTGGCTAGTTTAAACCAACATGCTTGAAACCTTGATTTAAACCAACTGGTATTTTAAGAAAAAAAAAACTGTTTTTTTTATTGATTTTTTCTCTCTATGTTGTTGATATGATTCTATAATAATGAAAATGAAAACTACAGCTTGAAAATACAAATAAAAATTTGATATTTAATTTTTTAAATTATTCTAATAATTAAAAAAAATGTTTTCTTCATTTTGTTATCTTATCAAAAGTAAAACAATTCAATGTCTCTCCTGATGGAGATCCCTTTTGGGCGTCTTTATTTTATTTTATTATTCAACAAGGTGGTTCCCCCGTCGCTTCGTTCGCTGTGAGCGACGGCGCGGCGATCAAGCGGTTCAGGGGATTCCCAAGTTGATCTTCTAATTCCAGTGTAACAGTTTTTTCACTTAGTACTTATTTTACAAATTAAATGCATGTGTAGTGATTATTAAATTGGAAAAAGATAAAATGTCAGGTTTAAGTGGACGAAAACGTGATTTAGTATGAAATTCCATTGAAAGTAATAAAATTAGCGGCAGAAGAGACGAAAGGGTAAAGTGTAAAAAATGTAGGTTAACTTTACAGGGTCAGGTATCAAGAATGAAGAAACACTTAACCAAATGTTATTCGGGAAAAAATATACTGATGATGACAATGATGGTAAGAAAAAATGTTTAAATTGCATTGTATCTTCATACTCTCTTCCTATACTATTTAAATTAACATTATTATATTAACATGGCAAATTAACAATAGCGAAACGATAGTGCAGGCACTGAAGACAGAAATGCAATGATATCCAGATCAAGTACTTCTTCTAACCCAATCATCTTAACTCGTAGTTCAAAATAGAAGAAGACGCAAAACAGAAACTTCTATGAAATCTATTTTTATCCAAACAAGTACTAACCGAAGAAGGCTCTAGACAAGCAAATAGCACGTTATCTATTATTTGGTACAAATTCGCCATTTAGACTTGTTGATCATGCACATTAATGGAACAGAGAAGGAAACTGAAAGGTAACAAGACAGAATATAAGGAAAAACAGAAACTAATTAAACAAAAAATAAAGGTGGCTAAAGAAAATTGGATGGAGGATAAATGCAAGGAATTAGAAAAGTTGAATGAAAAACATGATACGTTTAATATGTTTAAAAACGTTAGAGAAGTAGCTGGTCTTTATCATAAGAAAACTCCACATACTATAATCGATTCGTCGGAAAAATGATAATAGACGAACATGAAATTCGAACAACCTGGTGTAATTATATAAGTGAACTCTATAATGATGATAGACCCGAAGAACCGGAGACTAGTTAAAGGTGAAGGACCAGAAATACTAAAATCAGAAATACTGCATGCTATAAAGTTAGCAAAGAACAAGAAAGCCGTTGGCCCTGATAACATACCGACAGAGATGTTAAAGCTTATAAATGAGGAGAACATTGGAATACTGGTCAAACTTTTCAATGATGTTTATTCGACTGGTGATATCCCTGAAGATTGGTTAAAGTCCGAATTCATAACACTACCAAAAAAACAACGTCCAAAAAACTGTAGCGATTATAGAATGATAAGCCTTATGAGCCACACTTTGAAAATATTTTTACGCATCATCCACAGTAGAATCAGAGATAAATGTGAAGATCAGGATGAAACACAATTTGGCTTCAGAAATGGACTGGGAACTCGGGACGCCCTCTTTGCACTAAATGTATTACTACAGAAATGTCGAGATCAAAGGAAAGACGTCTTTGCTGTATTTATTGACTATGAAAAGGCATTTGATCGAGTACAGCATCACAAATTAATTACAATATTAAAAGATAAAGGAGTTGATAGTCAAGATATACGATTCATAGAAAAGTTATACTGGCGTCAAACAGCGAAAGCTTGCATAAACGGAAAATCAACAGAAATATGTAAAATACAAAGAGGTATCAGACAGGGTTGTATACTATATCCACTGTTATTTAATTTATATTCAGATAGAATATTTAAAGAAGCGCTGCATAATTTGGAATGGGGCGTGAAAGTTAATGGAATTCTGATAAATACAATCATATATGCAGACGATACAGTTATTTTAAGTGATGACATGAATGGATTACAATGCTTTTTAAATGCCATTGATACAGTGGGAAGAGAGTTTGGCCTAAACATAAACTGTTCAAAAACAAAACACATGGTGTTTAGCCGTTTAGCACATCAAGATGCACGATTATATGTTGATGGTCATATAATTCAAAGAGTGTCCAGTTTTAAATATCTTGGTTGCCATATTACTGAACAACTACATCCAGATCAAGAGATAAAATGTAGAATCGAGATAGCCCGCACGACATTTTTAAAAATGAGGTCATTCTTCTGTAACGATAACTTGAAACTTCAACTTCAAAAGCGTATGGTTAAATGCTACATTTGGTCCATTTGGAAAAATTCCATGGACGGCTATGCTGACAAATGTGGCAGTCCTGGAGAGAGCAAATGCTGCTCGCGAGCTGCTTGATAACATCAAATTTAGAAAGATGGCCTATTTTGGACACATAGTAAGGGAAGACCGATATAATATTCTTCAACTTATTATGATGGGTAAAATCGAAGGACGCAGAGGCATTGGTAGAAAGCAGGCCTCTTGGTTGAAGAATATCAGAGAGTGGACAGGAATGAAGAAAGCTGAGCAACTCTTTAGAATAGCTCGAGACAGAGACAGTTTCGCCATGTTAATCGCCAACGTCAAGGGGACTTGATAGGGCACGTTAAGAAGAAGATCATGCACAGTTTATTCGTCCAATGGAGAAACTTCGACCTGGTTATAAGCCATCTAGTCGAAGCGATATATGAAGACATTTAATTGACAAGATTTATGATCAGCAAATGCAAAAATTTCGCAAGTTTATACAAAATGAATGTTTACGTAGGTTTTGATGATTTGTCAATATCCAACAATCCCATATTGTGCGTTACAGTTACCACAAAGTCTGGTGAAGTTTATTTATAGGAGACTTTTGAAACGTCATGCCATGCTCATACTTCAGATTATCTTGAGTCAATTACATATGATAGCATTCTGAAGTGTGAGATCGAATTGAAATGCAAAGTTCGCTTAGTAGTTACAGATAATGCTGCTAACGTAAAGAAAACGCGCCTCTTGCTAGAGAAGCGGCTAGATCTTGATATTATTACATATGGCTGCTCTGTACACATTTTAAACCTTCTGCCTAACGATAACCCATCCTTCAATATTACTAAACACGTACTTAGTTTTGTTAAATACTCTCGGAATAATCATTTTGCAAGTGCACGTTAACGCAATACTGGAAATTTAAAATTTGTTGTACCCATTGAAGTTCGATTGAAAACAATGTCCGATTTTCTGTTTTCTGGGATATTATATAAAAGCATTGTTTAATGATAAAAGCTTGGCCTTCTTCTTCTTTGGGGGCCGTGTCCGTATTCAGGCGTTGGCCGTCATCATGCTTACAATTTCCTGAAACCTTTCTCTGTCAGCTGCTGCGCGAAATAATTCTTCTACTGTGAAACCACACCATTGTCTAATATTACGCAGCCATGAAAGTTTCTTTTGACCAATCCATCTCTTTCCTTCCACTTTTCCTTGTATTATAAGGCGAAGTAAATGGTATTTGGGTCCTCTAATTATATGGCCGAAGTATTCTGTTTTTCTCCTCTTTATGATGTTTATGAGCAGACGTTCTGAGTTGATCATTTGAAGAACATCTTCATTGGAAGTGTGCGAAACCCACGACATCTTTAGGATTCGTCTATAGCACCACATTTCGAATGCTTCTAACTTGTTTAGCATTGTGGTTTTTAACGTCCATGTCTCACAACCATACAATAGGATCGACCACACATAACATTTCAGGACCTTCTTACGAATGTTCATTGACAGGTTTCTGTTGCATAAAACTGGTTTCCAGGTCATAAAAGCCTTACGTGATATTTCGATCCTGGATATTATCTCTTCATCAGAGTCACAATTTACATTTAACCAGATGCCAAGGTATTTGAAATGATTTACCCTTTCTATCTCTTCTCCATTAAGAGAAAGCAGACCTTGATCTATATGGAGCTTTCCAACTGCCATCCACTTTGTCTTTGAAATGTTGATTTTTAGGCCTCTCCGATAACTTTCTTCACTGACTAGATTTAGTAATGTTTGGAGATCTTGTAAACTTTCTGCAAGAATGGCTGTATCGTCAGCGTATCTAATATTGTTGATTACTTCTCCACCTAGTCTTACTCCCTCTTGTCTGTCATCCAAAGCCTCCCTAATGATTTCTTCAGAGTACAGATTAAAAAGAGTGGGTGACAAAACACAACCCTGCCGTACTCCACGTTTGATGGGTATTTTTTCAGTGGGACTGTCTCCAATTTGGATAGAGGCTACTTGATTGTAATATAAGTATTTCAGCAGTCTTATATCATAGTGGTCAAGTCCTGCTGCCCGTAGGCAGTCGAAAAGTGTATTGTGTTGGACTCTGTCGAACGCCTTCTCGAAGTCGATGAAACAAACATAAACATTCTTTCGGAATTCACAACTTTTTTTTAATAGAACGCGCATACAGAATAGTACCTCTCTAGTTCCTAGACCGTTTCTAAATCCAAATTGCTTATCACCCATCTTACTTTCGCATAGAAGGAATACTCGGTTTTGTATAATTCGTAAGAGTATCTTCAGTGTGTGACTCATCAAACTGATTAGTCTAAAATCGCTGCATTTGGTGGGCCTGCTTTTCTTTGGTAATGTTATAAACAGTGACTCTAACCAATCATCTGGTATTTTTCCTTCGTTGTAAATTTTGTTGAAGAAAGTGGTTAAGCAGGCAATGCTTTCCTCATCCAAAAGTTTAAGTAGTTCGGCAGGGATTTGATCTGGTCCAGGTGCTTTATTGTTTTTGGCTTGCTGTATTGCCTTTTTGACCTCCGAATTCAGTATATTGGGACCTCTGTCCAACTGGTTGTCATAGGCAGTATTTGGAGCATTTTCCCTAGAAGCATCGTCAAAAAGGTCAGTGATGTATCTCTCCCATTCTTTGCACTGTCGTTCGTGATCACAAATTTTTCCGTCCGCGCTTTTAAGTATGTGAGCATTTTTCTGTTTTCTAATTCTGGCAGTATATTTAAGTTTCTTATGCAGGTTGAAGCTGTCATGCTTTTTTTGGAGGTCTTCTATTTCTTTACATAAATTCTCAAGCCAGGATTCTTTGGCTTGCTTAATTTTTCTTTTTATGCGTTTATTAATTTCACGATATTCGATAATATTTCTATTTTTGTGTTGCCGTCGAACTTCCATCAGATCTAGAATTTCTTGTGTCATCCACTCATTTTTTGCCAACTTGGTAGGTGTTTTCAAAGACTCTTGTACGTTATCTAAAATCGAGTTTTGAATGGCATACCAGCATTCGTTAATGGTTCTGTTTTCGTTTGGTATATTTGATATTCTGTGTATTTTACTATTTATTTGCTGTGTTACGTGTTCGCGCGTTTGAGGGTTTTTCAGGGGGTCGAGATATATCTTACAAGGCTTAGTTGGCTTTGTTAATTTCTTCAATTTAATTTGTATTTTGGAGCAGAGTAAATTGTGATTTGAGTTTATGTCAGCGCCGGGGTAAGTTTTTACATCTTTAATATTGTTTCGAAATCGGTGGTTTATTAGGATGTAGTCTATTTGATTCCGTACTATTCTGCCTTGATGTCCATCTTGAGGGGATTTCCACGTGTAAAGACGCCTTTCTGGAAGTTGAAACCAGGTTTGAAACTGTAAAGGTAAACTTACATCATTCAGTAGGAAATATGTCCCCCTTTGGCAGCAATTACTGCTTTTACCCGTTTTGGCATAGATTCTATGAGTTTCTGGCAGTTGTCAGATATCCTTTCATCTCGATACCAAACCTGAATGGCCGCTTCTATAATTTTTGTTTTAGTGGTACAGTCGATTTTTCGCAGTCTAGCTTTGCAAATGGCCCATAAATTTTCAATGGGGTTGAGGTCGGGCGAATTACCGGGCCAATCTAAAACATTAATCTTCTTATTTTTGAAAAATGCCATCATTTCCTTTGATTTGTGACAGTGAGCAGAGTCCTGTTGAAGAATCGCTCCTCCTTGGGGTTGACATTTTTGGAGTTGTTTGTCCAAATACTTTTCCAACATGGATTTGTATTTTTGGCTGTTCGTCATGCCTTCAATTGGCACCAAAGATCCAAACCCCATGTATGAAAAACATCCCCAAAACATTTTCTTGTGAATATTGAAAAAATGAAAAAAAAAATCACAGTGATTCCATTAATTCGCACAATACTGTACATACCGTTCATGGTTATCTGTTTGGGGGTTCTCCGCTCCCCTAATCGTGCTGTAACATATTAAACTAATATTATAAAATAAATAGGATAAATAGCCATTAAGTAACTAAGATGATAAGGGGACACCTAAATGGAAATACTTACATTGACAGAAACCTGCCGTCAATATATGGTCCTTATTATATACTACATCATAATGATCTCTGTCCATGATACATAACAAAAAGGACTTATCAAATTTTTCGTCTGACAAGTTGTAAATTTTTTGACTAGCCGCATCAAAAATTGTAACACCTCGACTAAAACAAAATAATTGGTTGAAACATAAAAGAAAATATATGTAAATATATAAAATAAAAAAACGTTAAATTTTTTTAAACTAAACTTTTATTCACTTCAGTAATTTATGATGGAAAAGGTTACATTTTATAATTATTTTAATATACAGGGTGCGGAAGATAATTTGTAAATTAGAAATATCTGGCGAACTAAAGGTAACTGAATCATAAAAATTGGAATAAAGGGGTTTTGAAGAGTGGCCTATTTAATGAAAATATTTTCATCTGTTTGCTACTTTTTTAATGAAAGACCCTGTATATTTTTGAATTTTAGTAATATTCACGTTATTCTGAACCTTTTTGGTAATACTTTCCTATACCTATTGTGAAGCATATTTGAGTAAAATTGTTTTTATATGAAAATTACAATTTCCTATCATGTATATAAAGTTCAATATCGTCTAATGTAATTTGAATAATAGGAACCTATTAACCACATACAGCATTATAGTTTACAGTAGTGTGGTCCAACCTCAGGATCGCGGGTCGCATGCGCCCGCGTTCCTGAGGTTGGACCATCGAGCAAAAAGACAAAAGAGGGAATGTAAAGGTAGTGGGGGCAAACATATTGTTAGACAGGAAGTGCGATCTTTAGAGGCCACATTAAACAAGGAAAGGGAGTCTCTCTCCTTGTTTGACATCAAATTAAGTTGGGTTATATTATTGTTTGTCCCAAATGTCACATGAAATCTTATTTATATTGAAGTTTTTTAACAATTGTGTCGCATTTTAGACTCTTATCATTAATAATGAATTAAAACTTTCTCGTCTAAGACACATTCTGAAAAATATTATATAGCTACTGTTGATAAGTGTCAAAAAAATTATATTTGGGGCATTAGCATTTCCGGATATGTCCACCATCAGAGGACACTTTTTTGGTCTCCTTTTCATAAGGATTAGATTCCCTCTTTTGTCTTATTGCTCGATGGGTTGGACCCAATCACGTATAATATATAGACTGAGCAGTCCCGTATTCTCGCTATATACATAATACTATGACTATAAGATAAGATATTGCGCATGTTTTTGTGACGTCAATGGAGAGGTGCAGGTTCGAAATGTTAGTTTTTTGTATATATCAATAAAAAATAATCTTTAATAAATAGTTTTAGATATCCTTATGTGTACGATTATTGTGATTATTAAACCTCTTAACTTATTTTAGTCTAGTAATTTCATCACAGAATGCATACAAATCCCATTTAACTTTAACAAGATTTCAAATTCTACTCTCCAATGACGGCATGCGCAAACTCGACCGGTTTTGAGCTACGGGAAGATCCTATCTTGTTATTCATAGTATCATGGCTATATAATCGGGTGTCCGAAAGATCTCTGCTCAAGGTTGAAGGTATGTTTACCAGAACAGCGGCGTGCTTATTTATATTTTAATGACAATAATTATTTTTTTAATTAAAATTAAATATTTATGATTTTTTTTGTTCCCGTCTATAAGAGAAAAAAATATTTTTATAAAATAGCAGGGCATTTTACTAAAATAGTAAGTAAATAACTCTCAACAATTTAAAATAAAATTTGCTTGTCACATAAAATATGTAAACACACGAAATGGAGAAAATGTTTTCATACGTAAATGATGTTTTCAAACACAAGATCAACTTCGTGATGCTTCGTAAGAAATCATGAACTTCGTGCATCTTCGTATCAAAACAATAAACAATAACAAAGGTATTCATGTTGTGGACACTTTTTAAAGCGTTCACCGAGTCTATATATTATACGTCATTGGTTGGACTACACCGGTTTACAGTGTAAAGTTGTATTTTTCATTATACAGGGTGCTGTCCTAATTGGCATCAAACCGACATTCTAAAGTTTTCCCTAATTTTTTTTTTCAAATGAGACACCTATCGTTCAAATGTTTTCATTATCGATCTGTATTAGTATTCTCTATTTATACATATCTCTTGCAGTTTTCAAATAAATTACCTTTATATATTTTTGTCAAATATCAGTTATTGCTTATAATGTTTAATAGTAACCTTGTCGTATGCCATTGGGTGACAATTATAATAATAATTTGCCTAATTTTCTTGACAAAATAATAATGGCTCATTTAGGATATACAAATGATGATTTTTAAAATTTAATTATAATTTACGGTGAGTGTAACAGAATAGTATCTAGAACTTACCGTGTTTTTGCGGAGAGATATCCTGAGAAGCCTCGACCAAATTATAAAACTGTTAAACCTTTGTTAAGCAACTATTCCTAGTTTGGTCAGTTTATAAGTAAAAGGACCCACGTCGATAATAAAGACAAAAATAGATATCCTGTGATATTTTGCATATAATGTGAGCAATTGTTACAATTATCGACTCTAACAATTCACATATTTTAAAAAAAAACATCATTGAACCCTTTATTCATATACACTTGCTCCACATTTACACCCTGGAGATCATGTAAGACGTGTAGAATTTTGTGTGTCGCCAACAGTTCAATTCCTGCTTTAAGATTGGTCAAATTGCAACCATAAATGCAGTAAATGGTAATGCTCGAAATTGAGTATTGGCTGTTGTGCAAGCTTTAATGGCAGAGCGTTATGGAGCACGTGACCTAATTAATTCTGTATAAATATAGGTGCATAAAGGCCAAAAACTCGTTCTGGTTTATACAGAGATCCGCAGAACCAGCCTTCTTGGCACTAAAGACTGGTTGATTTAGTTCCTAGAAACTCGACTTTTACTTTTTGCACCAAACCGCTATTCTTTTTATTACAAGATTTTCCCCCTAGCTGGACTTAGAATAATGTTACGTAAAAATTAGTCATATTATAAAAACCTGTAAACATGTTGTTTATTTACTGATATGTTGTAGATTTTACGAGAACCTTCGACTAGCTGAAATGCAGAGAACACTACGATTAGCTCGTCACAAGACGCTGGTTGATGTCTTATCCGCCACCCTCAAATACGAGTCAGCTACGCAGGCCTCTGGCGGGTACAGTAAAGTTAGGACTGTAAAAGAGTAAGGAGATGAAGATAAACGTGACCAGCTCGTTAATATGATGAAAAGCATGACATACAAGAAACCGAAGACCATAAGATGCTGGAATTGTGGCGAAATAGGACACGTACGAAGTTCTTGTAAGCATCCTAGGTACGACGCAAATCAAGACTCACCATCAGGAAAACTAGAATGGGTCGGCTTTAGGGGGGCAGATTCGACTCAGAACTTTTCCAAAGACCCTCTCATACTAATAGCTTCTTTCAAATGTCGTGAAGATAGTGTATATGTAGATGGAGAAATAAATGGTAAAAAGCATACGTTGTTGGTGGATACCGGAGCGACCAGAAGCATTATTCGCCCGACAGTTATAAACAGCCGTAAGAAACTGTTACCAACGAGGTTGCGACTGCGGACCGCTACAGGTGAAACTGCCAACATTCATGGAGAAATCCAGGTACAATTAGGAATTGGAGCAGAAAAGTTCGTCCATACTGTTATAGTTGCTGACATCGAAGAGGATGTTGTATTAGGAATGGACGTAATGAATACGCATGGATTCCAATTGGATTTTAAGAATAAGGTAAGGCCGGCTGGCGTCTTTCGAGGGTGACCACGACGTAGATGAAGAAGTGGAAGTAAACCAAGTCCAAGATGAGTCTGACCTCACGTTTGAGGAATTCATGGGTGCCTATGGAGGTACCGATAAAGCAAGACATGGTGTTACCACTGAAGAAAGGCAAGATCTACTCGCGCTTCCCGATGACTACTCACTGGCCCTTACCATCCCGGTCAGTATCAAAGACGCACCAGGGTTGGCATCCGTCTTTCGAAGGAAGTTTGGTCGAGTTGCAGAACTTCAAAGCCAAATGCCAGCTCTAGGTAAAACCTTGAAACTCCAAGATGCATCACGTTACCTTTTCTACCTGGTAGCAAAAGACACTGAACATGACCAACCTATCTACCGAGATGTATGGGAAGCCTTACTTCAATTGAGAGAGCACGTACTAGAGTCCGACGTGTAAAAGTTTGCCATGCCAAAGTTGGAGTGCCGCCAATTAGATTGGAGGGTTATTCGAAATATGGTGGAGGAGATCTTTAAAGACACCGAAGTCCAGGTGGTAGCCTGTTGCAATCCGCATAGTTACTGGTGCGGAGAGAAAACCGTCCCTTTTCAATTTATACAACTGAAAGTTGTAAAAGGGGGTCTAGTTGCCGATACCAGCATGTCGTTCCAGTTCCAGTCCCGACAAGTTTCCAGGAGGAACCATTTTTTAAAAGGGGGGCAATGTTATGTAAAAATTAGTCATATTATAAAAACCTGTAAACATGTTGTTTATTTACTGATATGTTGTAGATTTTACAAGACCCTTCGACTAGCTAGTGGAGATTCCAAGAACCGGTCCGTTCGAACGGTCCGGAAATACTTTAAATGAAAAAAACCAGCCGATGCCTTCCAGTATTTTCGACGAGGGTCGACATCCTTCTAGTCTGGTCAGAATGAATCACCTGAACTCTCGAATAGCTATAGTTGGATATAAATAACAGGATTTTTATTGTGGCCAGGCAGTCAAAAGAAGATATAGGAATCGGTTAAAATTGTATCGCACGTACATAAATTATATAATTATTAAGTGTAAAATAAATTTGTAGTAATAAAGACTTTGATAAATTCGTGAGTGTTATAAAATATGGAACCTTTAGTAAATTAAGATAAGAACAATAAATTAGAATTAACAAAAACATTATAATAATTTATATTTAATCGTTATTTTACAGGTATTTTTTGACTATTTTATTTCGATTTAATTCATCTTTTTTTGACTTTAAATTATTTCTATTTTTATTTTGTCTCTCAGATTTTTCTATAATTTTTGCGATATTAATTTATATTTATTTGTATCGCCAAGTGACTTTTTTTATTTATATATATTTTTATTTATTTATTTTATATTTTACTTCCAGCGCCTAAAAATAATTTTGATAAAAAGTCCCCAAGCAGACTTTTTAATCTATAAATAATTTTCTGATATTAATTTCTTTACAGAGTTTGAAATATTTTTATGTGTAAAATAACTTATGTTTTACATTTTTCATAGGTCTCATCGTCTCATAAAACTTTAATAACTTGTTTTGTGTTAACATTTTATCATGTGATTGTTGTTTATTCCCGAAGTCTCAATTCTCCGATTCTCAGTTCTAAGACTAATTACCACATTCTATTGCAGATTCTTAGTATTAGTTAATACTTTTATTGTATTTATTTTTAGAAAAGGTATTTCCCTCTAGCTATACGATCTATATGTCCACGGACCGTGACCCCCACCTGCTCCGGTCCGATCAAGGGACCAGGCTAGCGACATGTGAATGGGTTTTAATGAAATGTCAAGATTAAGATTTTACAAAAAAAAATTATTTGGTGTGATGAATCGGAAGTTGACAAAAAATGGTATGTTTAACCGCCATAACGGTCACTTCTGGAGTGACGAAAATCATTAGCTCACGTAGTATAGTAAATTTCAAGCATTCGAGAAGCAATCGAGAGCGTTATTGCAACATTTTACGGTAAGTAATTGTACCAGCACTGCACGCCTTACATAATAATAAGGATAACGAGGCTTGGTTTCAACAAGATGGAGCACCGGCTCACAATATTCGAGGAGTCGGCATATTACTTGATTAAATATTTAGCGATAGATGGATAGCTAATAAAGATCCGTTTCTCTGGTCACCAAGGTCCCGTTGTCACCATTAGATTACTATTTTTGGGGATATGTTAAAAATAAGGTGTTCTCTGCATCTGTCACTACTGAGGAAGCTATAATTAATAAAGTCCTTCAAGTTCTTAACGAAATAGATAGAGAATTAATATCAACAGCTAGTTTATGAGAAAAAAAATTTCTGTGACAAAAATATATAAAGTTTATATATATATATATATATATATATATATATATATATATATATATATATATATATATATATATATATATCCAATAGAAGTAGTAACTTAATCATTATTATTGCAATTGTTGCATTTTTCCAGGAAATAAAATTCTTAAGAGTAATAACAACAATTAAAATAACTTTAAAAGAAATAATCACAAAGAAATAAATAAATTCTATATATATTTATTAACAACAGAATTTAATTGTCTTAAATTAACATAACATAATTTTCAATTAAATGTAACTTTACACATGAACTGAACACAGCTTTAGTATTCTGGCTGACATCTACTAATATGATAGCTGACAAGACACTTTAACATTGAGGTACACACTAAATTTTCACCTCCTTGTGCATAGGTGAATAGACTGGTCCAAAAAATGACAATGTGATATGTAGTTGTGTTTTAACTGTTTTGTTTCTTAAATGTTCAATGTTTTTTAATATTTATATTGTACTATCACACTGAAGAAAAATAACAAAAATGCACTTGTATTGTTTGAGTTTTCAAGCCACCATATAACACATACAACTTATATTTTTTTTTTGCTTTATAAAAAAATCTTCAAAAAAGTTTTTCAACATGGAACTTTCAAATACCACTTTTGCCTGCAACCTCATACAAGTAAGTGTTTCACTACATCTTATGTAAAATACACAATTTCACCATTTTGTAACATATTGTAGCATTCGTCTGAAGATGTTAAAGAAATTTAACGAAATATAACGAAGTCGTTGAAAAGAGCACACTTTGGCTTTCATTATTCAGCTGCTAACCCAATTAACCTTACCATTATACTATATATATATATATATATATATATATATATATATATATATATATATATATATATATATATATATATATATATATATATATATATATATATATATATATATGTATAAAGTTAATTTATTTGAAAACTGCAAGAGAGTCACCAAACAATTTTTTTGAAAGAAAAAGATACACAAAATGAGATATGCTAAATTAAAATCTGTTGATAAACAAAAATTTTATTGCAAAATGAACAACATAATGGCTGTTTTTGAATATTATTAATAACTTTTTTATTGGTTATTAAAATTTGTTTAAATGTATCTGAAATTAAGCACAATAATGCATATTCTGCTTGCATTGTGTACAAAACATGATCCAGATCCGTTGAACAGTTTTTGCGAAATTAAATTTGATTATAAGATTTTTGAAAAAGGCTGGTATAGATAATTTGACTGAATGTATCTGAATAATCCGGTGCTTATTTTCTTTGTTAAGAAGTCTATTAATAACCTATGGGAAAAAGTTTGAAAAAATTACATTTATGCACACAAAATGATTGAATAGTAGAAATTTGTTCAAATTAAATACCAAAAAATAGTCGAAAATTTCCCGCAGAGGGAAACGTGTCAGACTCAAGATAGACAGCAGAGAGAACTCAATGACAGATGAAATAAAGGTAGTAGTAGTACAGGAGCGATGATGAAAATACTAAAATCAAAAACGTTATCAAAAAGATTAAAAGAAAGTCTCTACAGAAATGTTATAAAACAAATGGCATTTTATGGGTGTGAAGTATCCACACGACATAGATCAGAAATACAAAATATATGGAGGAAAGAGGACCTATAAAGAAATAAAGTCATCATCATCATCATCCAGCCTTCATTTATCACGTCCAATGCTGGGCATAGGTCTCCCTTAAACTTCTCCATTCTTTGAGATTTTGTGCTCTTTGTTGCCATTTTTTCGTGATACGCCTGATTTTGCCAGCCCAACGTGTAGGTGGTCTTCCTCTACTACATTTGTAGTAAAGTGTGTCATGACCGGTAATACGCATTGGTCAAATACTTTTCTTTTAAAGCTAATTGGTATGTTGGCCCTAAGTGTGTATTACAGTTTTCCAAAGGCTGTCCACGCTAAAGTAATTCGTCTTTGAATTTCACATGTTTGGTTATCCCTGCTGTTTTTTATTTCGTGACCCAAATACGTATATTTCGTCACCAGTTCTACCACTTTGCTTTGAATAGTTAAATGGTTATTGGGGACCATATTTATCCTAAACTTAGTTTTGGACAAGTTCATTCTGAGGCCCACCTTCGAACATGCAAAGTCCAATTCATTTAACACATCTGTGGCTTTTCCTAAATTATCTGTGATAAGGACAATATCATATGCGAAACGGAGATGGTTAAGTTTTTCACCGTCTAAGAAATAATGTAATAGTACGATAACCTATCAATAATAGCACAAATTAAATTCCAAAGTGTAAGATGGCAGGGCAATGTTTCCTGAAAAAATGTTGAGATGAGATCTAATGCGAAAACGACGTCCTAGAAGAAGATGTATAAATGCGACAGAAAACTATTTATAAGAAACCTTAAGATAAAAGTCTGGCAAACTATAGCTCTGGATAGAAAAGTCTGGAGAGGAATTGCTAATCAAGTTTGCGGCCTTCAGAGCTTATAGAGATGTGTATATATCATACAAATGTATAAACAGACTATATTTATAATTAGAAACATTTTTAAATAAAATATTTACTTACTTATAGCGTGCACTGATAATTTTGAGTTCAATATTGCCACAAATAACCATGTGTTTTTCTAATTTGTCGAGATGGTCTAAGAATTTTTCAGGAGAATCGAAATCACCAGATAATTCCTTATAGTATTGCCTGGCAAACGTTAAACAGTCCCTTCGAACTCTCTCGTGGTGAACTTGGCAGTCATGTAGCTGTTGAAAATATAACATTTACTTAAGAATTTGTAATATAAATAATACAGTGTGGAAAGCACTTATGAAATAAAATTGTTTCTTTTCTTATTTTAGAAAATTATAAAAAATACTGAGACCTGTCAACTTTTAAATTCAAATGTTTTTTTTAACATTTTTAAACATAAATTTAAATGTACAGGGTGATTCACGCAAGTCTAACATAGTCCGCAATTTTTATTTTTAATAAAACGTTCTGTACATGTCAAATCACGTAGGGTCTGTTATGAATAATGCAAGTTAAAATTTTGAATAATTTCTTCGAGACATTAAAATAAATCGTCAAAATGTTCTCTATCTTGTTGTTGGCAATAACACAGTCTCATATAACACTCGTTCTGAACTTTGTTTAAAGTTTGAAGTGAAATATTCAGTATATCCGTTATTGAGATGTGCAATACTAGTTGGCTGTGTTTAATATACTTTGTTCTTAACACGACTCCACAGAAACAAATTCAAGGGTGAAAGGTCTGGCAATATAGCTGGCCACTCAATAGTACCTCTTTATCCAAAACATTCATTGGGTAAAATTTCTTTCAAGTTCTTACCATTAAAACATTAATGGGGTATTGCATCATCCTGCTGGAAGCAGACATTTGCATTCGGTAGGTTCGGATCTATCGAGTTGGGATATAAGTTGTCCAATGCAGAAACAACTTCGTCTTTAATCATGCTTTAATATTTTTTGGCTGTTAAATTTTCATCTACAAATATAGGACCAATAATATGATTACCTACGATACTTACATAAACATTTATCTTTTGAAAATACTGAGTATGTGTCTCAGGCATCCATTTCTGTTCAGTTTATTCAATATTTTTTGGCAGGACTCCATTCTACGATCTGGATCGTCTTCTGTTGTCTCTTGCACAAAACTCAATTTATATGAATGGTTTTTCTTCACAGAGGAACTTAAGAGAAGTTGTATCACTCACATTATTTTGACAAACAATTTGACGTGAACATGACGTTGTTTTCTCTATGACACTTAACAAAATATCCACTTTCACATAATCTTCAATGAAATTTTGTCTGATTTTCAGTAATTTGACACATCCAAGAACTCTGAACTCTGCATGAATTTTAGACTTAGCACCTTGCAAAATATTAGACCACTTAGGATTTTGTATATTCTATGTATCCGACAGAGCTATCCTGAGGCAATTGGGGTCCAAAACTTCTGATAAAAATCTCGTTCAGATAAATGCACCAACAGCAGAATAAAGCAGTGATGACGAGTTAAAAAAGTTTTACTCAGGTATTTACTCAGGTATTAAAAGTGTGACTAACATGGTAAATAATAGGAACATTAAAATAGAATAGAATAGAATAGAATAGAACAGAAAAAATATTGTGGAAAAGTTTGGTGTCCGAGAACGCAACGAGAGAGAGGACCGATTTGTTGGACTCTGCAAAAAAGTAAATCTATATATTACGTATAGGTACCTTTTTTAAAAAAACCAAGCAGGAGACTTCACACTTGGAAACCTCCAACAGATGGTCGTGAAAAAATCAGGATAAATCAGATTGATTACATCACTATCAATGAGCTGGTGTCCTTCGGATCATATCCTTTTGATCGATGATTTGAAACTAAGACTCAAGTAACTTATAAAGCATGAACCCAATGACAGCTCCGATGTAGGTTTTCTAAGTTACTTTCATCAAACACGCACAAATAGTTTGGAGAACAAATTTAAAGAAGACCAATAGTTTCACAATATTGAAAAGATCACTGGTATAATTTTAAAACTGTAATAAAGAACTACTTCCGACTTACCCAAAATCAAATATAAAAAGCAACAGGGAGTATATGATGTAATGGAGATATTATATCTTATGTAAAAGAAAATTTAAAAACCGAGATCATCAAGCAATGTATAGCAATACACAGAAAGGAAAAATAATGAAAATAAGAACAGCAAAAGAAGCGTGGAAGAAGATTTACAAAAGAAGCAAGATGTATTCAATTTACACAAAAAGATAAAAGAGTCGAGACATCACTTTATCCATAAAAAGGTAACCGTATCACGATATCGATTAACTTTTGAACTTTAACTCTTGAAACCGGTGAAAGTGACATTGCGGACGAACTTCTCCTGAGCCTTGATGTAGCAAGAAGGAAGAAATGAACAAATAAAGTCGAATCGTTAGATTTCAAAAAGTCTAGCCGTAAAGCGTGGTCGCTCCTAAGAAAACTCGGAAGTGACAAACTGGCAACACGACAAATCCACGACTTCAACCCTAATAAAATTGCATCACATATAGTTGCCACCTCCAGAGGAGCATGTGATAAAAAGTTTATCACTACTATAAAAAGGGAGCTTAAACATCTAAAAGCTGCCTGTCCATCAGATACAGAGTACTCCGCACCGTTCACTCCAGAAGAAGTCTCAAACGCCATCAAAGACATTAAACCTAACAAAGCTCCTGGTACAGACGGTATGCCTCCCGAATTCCTGATCCATTGTGGGAAATCTGCAAAAACCTGGTTGGCTAAATTCTATACAGATATACTCAAAACAGGTAACCTACCAAACCTCTTTAAACAAACAAAACTCATAGCCATCCTGAAACATGGAAAACCAACAGACAACCCAGCGAGTTACCGCCCCATCGCTTTACTCAGTTCAGCTTACAAGCTCCTCGAAAGACTGGTCCTGAACAGAATCGGCCCAAAGCTACTTCAAAAAATACCAATTGAACAAGCAGGATTCAGGCCTCAACGAAGCACCACTGACCAAGTGCTCTCTATAACTACCTACATAGAGGCAGGTTACCAAAGAAAACTGAAGACGTCTGTGGCATTCATCGATTTATCGGCTGCCTATGACACGGTTTGGAAAGATGGCCTCATCTATAAGCTCCTTAAAATAATCCCCTGCAAAGCAACCGCCCGACTCATAAATACTGCAAAGCAACCGCCCGACTCATAAATACTATGCTGAGCAGTAGAAACATCCGTGTAACCATGGGAACTATAGTGAGCAAACAGAGAACGCTTAATAATGGCCTCCCCCAGGGCTCTGTACTTGCACCGCTGCTATTTAGTATGTATATAGCTGATATGCCCCCTACCAGATCTAAAAAATTTGGATATGCAGACGACTGGGCACTTGCAACTCAAAGCTCCTTAATACAAAACTCCGAGGCAACCCTAACGGAAGATCCGGAACGCCTGGTTAAGTACTTTAAACAATGGAGACTTAAACCTAACCCCAAAAAAACCGAGGTTAGCTGTTTTCACCTGAACAACAAAATGGCCCACACAAAACTTAAAGTATACATTGATAACCAACTGCTCACGCACAACTATAATCCCAAGTACCGCGGCGTCACCCTGGACAGAACACTCTCCTTTAAGAAACATCTTGAGGACACCGCAGCAAAGCTGAGAACCCGTAACAACATCATACAGAAGCTTTGCGGGACTACATGGGGCTCATCAGCAAATACACTTCGGTGTTCAGCCCTTGGACTCGTATACTCCGCAGCTGAATACTGCTCTCCTGTTTGGCTGAATAGCGTTCACACAAAAATTATAGATACCCAGCTCAATGTCGCCATGCGTCTCATATCTGGAACGATCAAGGCTACACCTGTGGAGTGGCTTCCACTACTGAGCCATATAACTCCACCTAATCTTCGTCGTCAGCATGCTCTGCTTAGAGAATTCCAAAAGCTGCTTAACAACCCGCAATTACCTATACACACATATGTCGCCGACGCTAATTCACATCGATTACGCTCCAGAAAACCTCCGACTAGAGATGCAATAAACTTGAGTTCCAACAATTTCCAAATGAACTCTCAGTGGAAGAACATGCAGAGCGATAGACCGAACCTAATAATGAGAAACACACCATGCATCACAGAAACTCCACCAGGTTTTGACCTCCCCCGAAAATCATGGTCAACTCTTAACAGGATAAGAACGGGTCATGGAGTCTGCGCAGATTCCCTTTATAAATGGAGGATGAGAACCTCTGCTGAGTGCGACTGCGGCGCCGAGAAACAGACCATCCAGCATATGATTGCCGAATGCCCTCGGAGGAAGTATTATGGAGATCTTCTAGACTTCGCCTCTGCAACACCAGCGTCGATTGAATATATTAATACATTAGATGTTAGATTGTAACATATATGTGATAATGTTGTGTATCAAATTGCCATACGCTAAATAAAGAAAAATCGATTAACTAAAAGATGAGAAGAGTACGTTAAAGAACTATTTAGCGACCAACGACTTGTAAACGAAATACAAAATTGTATTACAGGTCCCAAAATAACAATGGAAAAATTATTAAATGCAATAAAAATATCCAAAAACACAAAAGTTTTAGTACAAGATTAAATATCGATGAAATACTTTAAAATAAAGGTAAAAATATGTCTTGTAAAGTTAGTATACCCATTTTATATCACCAAATTCAGACTAGCACTACACTTTATTGCTGGTTTATTACGTAAAGAAAATATTTATTGCTGTAGCCGTTTCCTAGAAACATTGCGTATGCTATCTTTACGGTAACCAGCCAAAAAGGTATAAAATAGCATAGCCATTGCTATTTCTCTGCAATGAAAATCTACCCCATCATCCCCCTAGCGCTAAACCATACCTGGAAAAATCGTGATATCGGCCAAAATCGTTGAAACTAGAAAAGTGAAACGAAAAGGAATCAATTGCTAATTTATTGCTGAATTTTATGTCTAGAAACACTTTATTGTTGCAACCGTTCCGCAAAAATAATGATTACTGAACCTATCTTAGCGTCATTTCTATTGCTAATTAAATTGTCTTGAATAATTGACTTGACATAGACCAGACAATATTTCTTTTAAGCTATAATATCCATATATTATGGAAGCTACGATATATGGTTCATATTTTATGGTTAAATTTTTGTTAATTTAGTACTCCTCACACTTTGTGCTACCGATCTCACTTCCTTAAATTCACAAAAAATGGCCCATATTTTGCTAATTATTAAATGTTTGCCAATTTAAAGTACAAATCACACCGAGTGCTACCGATCTCACTCCCTAAAATTCACAAAAAATGGAAATAAACTAGTTTAAGATAAGTACACACATTCGTCTTTCATTGTTAATTTATTGTTGTAGTTCTGAGCCTTTTATTAATTCACCATCTTTCGAGTAACAATGAGTAATTTAGCTTCCGAGAAACAATAGGTAACAATTTTTTTTTTTTAAAAGGGCGAAGCAATAAAAAGCATTATTAGCGTTGAACTGCATCAATAAATTTAAAAAAACCATGTATGTACTGGTCTTAATTATTAAATACATCATTTTTTCTGAAAAGCACAAAATTGATCATAAGTATTAATAACCAGTGGTGTCTTAACCTTGGCAGAGATAAGACGTATTTACAGTGATTGAGTTTGTATACACGTGTACCTAATATTCCCTATTACTCCAGTCGTCAGAGACGGGATATCAATGTGGTTTCTGCAGGCAGAAACCACATTGATATATCAGATCTTCGTCTTGAGGAAAATCTTGGAAAAGATTAATGAATTTAATACAGACACAATCTTTTCATTGATTTTGAGAGAGCCTAGGATAGCATCCATTGATATAGTAAAAGAAACACTTAAACTACCAAGCAAAATTCTAATTCAAATATACAACCCATCTAAGAACGGGCCTACGACAGGGAAATGCCCTATCATGTATTCCTTTCAACATCATATCAGAGAAAATAATTAGAGTCAAAAGTCAATACCAGAGGAACAATAATAACAAAAAGTGTACAAATATTGGCATTTGCAGATGATGTTGATATCATAGCTAGAAGCGAAAGAGAGATGATAGAAGCATTTAATTTGATAGAAAGAGCGGTACAAAACAGTGACCTAAGCATTAACGAAATAAAATCCAAATATATGAAGGCCGGCAACTCGACAGGTCAAAGAAACGTACAGAATCTGACAATAAGAGACTATAACAACGAAAGTGTGAAAAATTTTACATATCTAGGTTCATTAGTTACCGCAGATAACAATGTGGGTGAAGAAGTTAAGAGAAGAATACATATCGCTTATAAAACATAATGGACTAATTAAACATCTAAGATCTAACAACATCACAAGAAAAACCAAAGAAACCAAAGATTCTTAATTTTTTTTGTACTTACTTGCTCGCTTATTGCTCGAAACAAACACGTTTCATCGTAGGCTACATTTTTTCTGTACAATCCCAATGTATCTAACCATTGATCTACGGCACCTGGATTCTTACCTCTTTTGCCCATTTTTGACGTAACTTTCGACAAAAAAGATACTGGGACACAAACTGCAAATGTAATACCTATGATAAATTGAACTGGCAAATAATAAAAAATACATTTTAATCTTTAAGTCACGATACAATAGTAATAATAGTGGAAATTACTTAGAAATAAAATAAATAAACACTATTTAAGTCCCAGTGTTTAAGGAACCAGGATTCTTCCTTGTTGTGAAGAAGATCTGGGTCCAACACCATCGGAGTGAAAAAATTCAAAATTTAAATATATTGTTACGATCATGCATCTGGCGTGGCCCGTGTAACGGTTGCATCTCGAGAATGACTAGACGTTTCTGGCGACCCATCGAGTGCGAGAGAGATTAACCCGTCAAATAGGCGAATTAGAGGTGGGCTACTCCAGAATGTTATAGTACATAGTGACTTTTATATACAAGCATACCTTCTAGGAGTTAAGTTTAGTTGATAAGGTATTACGGAACTGTAAACTTATAAATAAATATATTTATATAAATTCGAACCGCTCGTTTTATTTAATCTCGCTACAGTGGTGTCACGTGTGAAGTTTACAAATAAATTCAGCAGTGATTGCTAAAGACTTTTAAACTTTTGAAAAGTATTGTTCGTCGGGAACATCCACGTAGTTCGGTAGTGATCTTTGTGAAAAAAAAAAGAACATTTAAAAAGTACGTGCGTGCCTAACCAAAGATGCTGCTAGTACAACTTTCAGTAAAACAGTTGCGTGAGCAACTAGAAGAACGCGATCAAGACTGTAACGGGTCCAAAAAGATCCGTTCTCAACAAGAATGGAGATGACCCAGAGACATTTCATTTTCAATCAGCAGAAGCAGTTTTAATAATCTTAATAATCTTTAATAATCTTCAAGAAAAAATGATAATAAATTCGAAAACGTTTCTAGAAGATCCGACGAGAAAAACCGAAAAGTTTTCTAGAAGATTCGAAGAAGTATGTACTCTGAAAAATGAGAAATTTGAAGAAGTCTCTAAAACATTCGATCAGATACAGAAAAATTAGAAGAGAAGATCAAACAATTAGAGACCATGATAACTAATACGAAAGTGTTACCACTAGTTAATGCAGTAGTTCTAGATCCGGTAGTGAAAGTGCTGCTTTACGAGGTGATACTGCGGATATCTTAAGATCGATTCCTAAGGGTCAAGAAAAATGTTAAAAGACCTTGTTCACTCGACTAGACAAACGTTACGGAGATGCCCATCTACAACAAGGCGCAACTAAGAAGTATAATTCAACGAGCAAGTGAAAAGTTGCAAGAGTTTGAAGCAGATATTGCTCGTATAGTACGGTTAGCTTATCCAGAGGCACCAAACAACATTTTGGAAGAAATTGCTGTAGATATCTTCGTCAATGGGTAAAAGACAATGAATTACAGAAAGCTTTACGACTAGCAAGACCAAACGTTCTAGATGAAGCGCTCGCTATTGCCTTGGAACATGAAACAGCTAGTCAAACTTCACGGACCAATCGAGTAAGAACCATTGAAGAAGGCGACGAACCAAACGATGAACGTTTGGAAGAAATGATAAGAAAAGTAGTTCGTAAGAGCATGCAATATAGAAGACATAAATGGATAGATGACAAAACGGAAACAGGAGTGAAAGGAATACATTAGTAGACTGGCAGAGGATAGGATAGTACGAATAGCACGAGATAAGTCACCAAATGGACGAAGAAGTATTTGCCGACCAAGAAAAAGATGATGCGATAATTTAAACAATGTATTAGGCTAATATTAAAGAAAAAACAGGCTTTAAAGCCTACGTCAAAGAAGTAAGAAGAAGAAGATCTAAATACAATTTACTATTTTTACTGTGAATAAACCATACTTTTACTTTACAATCAGTTTGTTTTGACTTTGTGATTTCGGTTTTTTTCCGAAGTGAAACTTCAAATTTCAAAATAAAACTTATTTTAAATTAAAGTTATGACTTATTCCCGGTAAAATATTATATCACAAGCAGTAGTTCCGAATAGAACGAGAATTCTCTAAAAATGTTATTGATTTACCAGTCCCAAACGGAAAAACTAAACACACTACAAACTTGAAATAAATATGCAAATTTATATAGATAATTAAAATACGCGTTTCACCATTGAAGTACAAGATCTTTTTCCCGTTCCAGAAGATATATCCATAGTTCACTGTTTCACCGACGATAGCATGATCAAGGGAATATCTTCAGTACATAACAAACAGTTCCGTTGATTGAACAAGTTCAGAACCCTTCAGGCTTTGATTTACCAGGTGACAAAGAAATCGTCAGGCCGAAAGTGCGCCTACGAGACAACATGGCGCATATTAACAGCTTTGAGACAAATTATGTGCCATTATAAAATAAGAAAGTTAGCGTCACCAAAATTAGGCAGTGGATTGGAAGATCTAGATCGGAAGATTATAAGACGCATGATTGAAGTGATTTTTCGAGAGACTGGCGTACAAATTACCGTGTGCTGCTTTAATCGGAAAAGATTCTGCGGTTCAAGTACAGTCTCTGTAGATTCTGGACATCGTTACTTCGTCCTCCAAAGCTTGTGCCGAGATAGAAGAGCATATCGCTTTCACTACTGAGAAAACATGCCTCAAAACATCTTAAAGGTGCATAGAAAAGAGGTGCATAGAAATCCGTAAAGCCGGCTCGAATATATTTGTTTTAATATTAAAGACAGCTTGACTTAATGTAAGATCAGTTATAAAATAAACTTCAGGAAGACTATTAAGTTTGTTGACATTTACTTAAATAAATCATTTGTTTAAATAATTCGAACCATGTTGTTATACGGCCCTTGGACGATTCTTGCTGATGAAATTGAGTCGAAGTTCTGACGAAATGATTCAGGGTAAGCACCAATAAAACATTTATTTTGTTATGATGATAATTACATCTGATATTACTATCCAATACCTTGAGACTGTCAAGTCCCGTCAGGATTCAAAACATGTTTTTTATTACTTTCTTTTAAAATAGGAAGTAAATGAAAGGATTGTATGAAAAGGCCTTTATCAGAAAAGGAACTAGAAGAACTGGCAATACAAATTCTGGAGCTACCAGATGATGTCGAAATTAGTGAATATGAAAGCAGCGATTCTGATGGCGTTAATGAAATAAGAGATGTTGGTCCATCTGCAGCTAAAGAAAGTGAATTAGTTGAAATTTATGTAGGTGAGATTGAAGAATCAGGACTAGGAGAAGCTGTGGTTGAAGACCAACTAAATGAAAGTGTTGAATCTCTTGAAGCTAACCGGAAATGGTATAAGAAAGATGTCATCGAAAATATTCAAAGTTACCACTTAGAAGAAGGAGCAGTGAGTCCAGAGTTCGCAGGAAGCACAACACCTGCAGATGTTTTTGTTAGACTACTCGGAGATATTGTGGAGAAGATTACCTATCAAAGTATATTCACTAGATTTGTATTCAGTGCAGAACAACAAGATACTGAATATAAAGGAAGGTGAATTACTGGCCTTTATCGGGCTGAACTTTCTAATGGGATACCATCAACTTGCCTCGTGGAAAATGTACTGGAATACTTCACAAGACTTACATGTGCCTCTTGTTTCGAAAACCATTTCAAGGAATCGTTTCGAGATGATATTAGCAAATCTACATGTCAACGATAACCAGCAAATTTCCAACGATAATAAAGATAATGCACTTACAATTCGACCGATGATAGATACTCTAAACAGACAATTTACTACATGTTATCAGGGCACAAGAAAACTTAGTGTGGATGAAAGTATGATCATTTTTAAAGGACAAAGTAACTTCAAGCAATATAATCCGAAAAAGCCCATTAAAAGGGGCTACAAATTATGGTCTATTGCAGAAGAAAATGGTTTTATGTTACAGTTTGACTTATATCAAAAACGAAAAATTGTAGATTGAATTTGAGAACTATGGTTTAGGACAGGAAACCAATTATATTCATTGAAGGTCCGTTTCGAAATTTTACTACACTTCAGCGGTCCGGACACTCAGCACTAAAGCAGGCAGTGGCGTAACAGGGGGGTACCCCAAAAACCATCCAGTAGTTATAACCTCCCTCAGAAGATCATCCTGGTTACGTAGTTGAAACCAGGCAACTATGCCACATCGTTTAGGGAAGTATATGAAATAAACTCAAGGAAAAAGATGATTATAAAGCTATTACATTATTCTCCCCTCGTCTTTGTTTATTAAATATTTGCTTCCTAATGCGTCTGCTGCTTCGCTGGTCCATACACCATTGGGCTTGAGTAAAAAACTGTTGCTTAACAGTTGCATAAAATTATCAATTTTGTGGAAATCAGAAAATCGTTTTTTAAATTCCAAATCAAGTTTATTAATAAAACGTGAGACCTATCATCAATATCTTTATTATTATCACAAACGTATTTAAGAAGAGGAAAATGCAAAAGTTCTGCCTTAATATGATCACAAAAAAGTTCAATATTTTTAGAAAAACTTCTAATATCCGACAGAAGTTCACAAACAAGTTTTCCCTTGCATAGTAGTTTTAAATTCAGGAAGTTCAGATGTCTGAAGATATCCGCCAAAAATGCGATAGTTGCAACGTTTTCCAAGAGAAAGCCTAACTGGTCATTTGCAGCTTCATTCAGCATCAATAGCTGCAGCAGCATCAATAGTGGACAGAAATTATTTGATGTTTAGTATTACGAGTATTTCTATATAGTATTAGTACTGTACGTTTTAGAAAGGTAAAGATATTTATATATTTAGATTTAATTGTAATTTTACACTATAATTTTATTACTATATTTTGAATTTAACGGCGGTCCGCAAAAAACAAGCTCACGGTCCGGATGCGAACCGCTATCCGCCATTTGGTGACCCCTGGTTTAAGAGAAAGAGTAGTCCTATCGTTAACCATAATGTACTGGAATCAAGAATCAAGAATGAAGAATTATTTATTTTGATAATTTTTTTACGAGCGTAAAATTACTCGAAAGACTAAAACTAGAAAATACTTTAGCATGTGGTACAATTCGTAAGAGCAGGAAGGACTTGCCTCCAAATTTAAAAGTAAATTAATTGCAACGCGGAGATTTTGACTATAGCTATTCTAATACTAACATTGGTTATTTTGTGTGGATGGATAACAGAGTAGGTAGCATTGCAGCTAACTTTCATGGGTCAGAAGTAAAACATGTTTCAAGAAAACAAAGAGATGGTTCGAGTTAAAACTTACCATGCCCCAGCGTTGTGGAAGACTACAACAAAAATATGGGCGGCGTTGATCTTGTCGACCAACTACGTGTAGATAGAAAATCACGTAAATGGTGGCACCGTTTATTCTGGGGCCTGTTGGATATTGCCTTTGTCAATTCATATATTATATACAATAAATTATTCGAAAAAATCAGAGCTGGAGGCAAGAAGATCGGTTGCTACGGGACTTTTAACATACGTCACTGAAGGAAAGACTCGAGGCTCCCGAAGTTTGGAATCATCTACACCTAACAAAAGGAGAAAGTATAATTACAGCGCGTTGGATGACGTTAAATTAAGACATTTGGGAAAATACTGGCATGTTTTTACCACCAATAAGGGAAGATCTGAGTATTGCAGCTCACTTGCAATATATTGTAAACCTCAATCAAAGTGTTAATTTGCCTATTTGTGTTTGTGGGAAAAGAGTCCTTATAGCAGAACAATTTAAAAAAAAATAAATTATGCCTAGGCTATCCTATTAAATCGATACATGTAAATTTTTTTTTTTTAATCTTAATTTGGGCAAAAAGGGTTAAAAGTGAACAGTTTTAGATGTACCACATGTACAGTGCATAGAATATGAGAGGTATGTGCAAAGACAAAAATAGAACATAGCGATAGAAAAACAAATAATTTAGAACTATTATATTAAGAAGCACAGAAAATATAATAGAAAATTAACAGACGGGGAAATGGAATAGATAACATAAAATTATTGTATTTCTACATCGAAGAGAATATCCTATCAGAAGTTTCCGTTAAAGAAATAAAATTGCATCTCAATTTATTTATTTACGTGATAAATTTTCAGACGAAACAAAATTTGTGTTAACTTGTTTACTAAATATGACTATATTTATTACAGGATTCAAGAAAATAAATGAATAATATAAAAATACATAAACTATTAGTGCATCTCCAGGTTAACTATTTTCCATTAAATTTATTAAATGCATATGTGAGATATAACGTGACTAAAATATTTGAATAATTATTACACTATAATGACTTAAATTATGACTTACTTTTTGAGTTTTTATTCAAGATTCAGTAACAATAAAACCACGTGTTATTCGTTCAGTACAAGCTTGAAATAAAACTATAACAAATGCCCATCACAGACACAGACACTTTTTTAAGTTTTTTATTTCTCTATTCTCTGTCTCTATTCATTTGCTGAAAGTAACAGTTCTGCGCACGTATTCTATTATTTGCTTTATGACTACTGAAAGACCGGCACAATAATTTTATTGTTTCTTTCATTACCTGTTACAAGTTAAGTAGAGGTAATCAAGTTTTAGTAATATATCTACTAGTCATAAATAAAAGTTTGAGTATGGTTTATGAAAATGTGCAATTATTTTATGTAACAATAGATCTTTTAAAAGTTAACCGACGACTATTTGAAAACTGGTAATCGACACCTACTGATAACTTGATTTTAGAACCAAAGACAATCCATATGCGCATCTAGAACGGTTTGGGAATCAACGAATAACATTGGCATTTAATATTTGTTTCTAAATATTAAAATACAAACAATATTTAAAATTGAAATTAAAGAAAAATTAAACAGAAAAGCGATGATGAAACCAATACTGTAGTTTTCTTTTTAATTTTTTGCTTATAATTAATAAAATTTACACCTGAACTGAAATTCTCGGGTCATTGGGCAACGTTTGGATGCATTTAACATTTTCTTTGCATGTGCGTCAAAAATATTAAGCTTTTTTCAATTAAATTTAATTTTAATCTGCTTATTTTGTGTTTTAAATACATCTGACTTTTTATTAACCCTCCATCACTTCCACCTCAAAAAATTACGCCATCACTCGCGTGTTAGATTTTATCTAACATATGGTTATAGGTAAAATAAATGAGTCATTCGTACTTATTGGTTAAGTTTAAAGGCTATTAACTCACAAAAAACGATAAACTTATATTTTTTAAAACAAAACTGCAAAAAAACTACTAGGTAAACTAAAAAAATATACACATTACCCTAGAACAAAACAAATAAGGGGACTTATTCGAAAAAATGTACGCATTACTCATAAAATTAGATTTCTTCCTCTTCTAGGCAGTGGTGGCAAGTAAAATTTGTTAAACCAGTGTGCTCTTTACATATCGGCAACTTACAGTTAGTACAGTAATGTTGGGTAAACCTGTTCAACATCTTGGTTTTATAGTTGGAGTTGCCCCTTGAGAAACTGATAGCTTTTCTCCGGTTATATTTCGGATCCTGAGTCTCAACTGAAAGGGCAGATTTGGGATATTTGAACGTTGTTGAAGATGGGACATTAAAAGTTGCTTGCCAAGTTTCGCAATGTAGCTTCTTCGAAATGTTACAATGTTAGTGTTATTGTTGTAAATTATTTGGCTGTTTATAGTTAAAATATTTGGTAGGCTGCAAAAAACAGTAAATGGCCAGCGATTGCTAAATCAAGTCACCGAGTTTTCTGCCGTTATTTTATCAACAACATCCACTCCGCCTTTTGTGAGGTTGTAATCAGTAATAATCTCGGGCTTCATGGTATGCTCTTTGGTGTTTTCATCAATGAAACCATCGCTGTGTAGTGTTGAAAGTAGTAGTACCTACATTCTTAGTTTTTTGGCATTTATGATACAAGTACACACTTATTTCTATCGTCCCCATATGCAAACATGCTACTACATAAAGGTCTTTCTTTTACGTTTGTCAACTCAGAGGGAATTTGTTGTTTGTTTTTACGCAAAGTACCTGTCGTTGTCAAGCAATGATCGTTCAGTAAAGAGTTGGCTAAGAGTACAGAGGAAAAGTAATTATCCGTAGTTACATTTCGACCGGTTCCACTTCTGGGTCGTAAAAGTCTTTTTATAACACTAGATGCATCGTTGGGTAGTTGATATGGTACTTCAGTTTGTTTGCCGGGGTAAATTTCGAGATTTTGTGTGAAAAATGTTGTAGCGTCTGCATAAATCTTGATTTCTTATTTCGCTGGCTTATTGGCTATATACTGCCTAAATTTGCATCGATCACGGAACGTTCCAACATTACATCTATGGTCACATAAAATTCAGGAAATCTTCTCTTGGACATAGTAGCTGCAAAAATATCTGGAGCTGTGCCATCTAATTTCCAGAGTTCATCAGTATTTAAATGTTGCGCTCTCTTTACCCCAGCAGGGAACAAAAGTTCGATCAATGCTTGCATTTCCTCGTAATCAACAGCAGGATAATCCCTAGGGCGAGTATAAAATACTCTCATCATATTCAGTTTTTGATTTGTATATTTTACAATATTATTGATCATAGCATCCGAGAAAAACAATTTCCAGCATTGTAATATACATTGTAACAATATTGCAAGCTTTGGTCTTACCTTTGGGAGTGTGTTTATTATCTTTCAACCAAGGTGTTTTATCTTTGCCATAAAATCTTGGATAACCATCATCTTAACCGCTTTCTTGCATGGCATCTTCAGGATCACTGGGTAGATCTTGTGTGTTCTGCTCAGAATCTGTATTGTGGATAATGTGTTCAGAACTAACATCACTTAAGTCCTTATCAGAATCTAGTGGTTCCACATCGCTTTCTATTTCTTCATACCATTTTAGTAACTGGTTTTCCATTTTCTTGTCCATATTTACCTACAATAAACCAAAATAGCGCTTATAATAACGGATGTTCAACAATCTATAGGTCATCGTCAACTAGCCTCTAACGTCCACTGCTGAACATAGGCCTCTCGCATGCTTTTAAACTTAGTCCGATTTTGCGCCATCTGAATCCAATTTGTAGTCACTCTTTTTATGTCATCTGTCCATCTGGTTGGGGGTCGACCTCTATTTCTGTAAGCTTGTATTCGGGGTCTCCATTCCAAAATTCTTTTTGTCCACCGGTCATCAACTGATCTTGCTACATGACCTGCCCAGTTCCACTTTAGTGTTGTTATCCTTTCAATAACGTCTGCTACTCCTGATCTTTTGCGTATAGTAGCATTGGGTATTCTATCACGTAGAGAAATCCCTAACATAATTCACTCCATTGCTCTTTCCGCAACTTGTAGTTTACTCACTGTTGTTCTTGTGAGCGTTAGGGTTTCTGCGCCGTAGGTCATCACTGGCAAAATACATTGATTAAATACTTTTCTTTTCAGACACATTGGAATCTTAGACCTAAAAATATCCTTCATCCTTCCAAATGCAGCCCAAGCGAGGTTTATTCTTCTTTTCAGCTCGATTGTTTGGTTGTCTCGACTTATTCTGATCTCATGGACTAAGTATTTATAGGAATCAACTGGCTCAATATCTTTGTCTTCTACTGAGATGTTTTTGTTGTGGACTAAATTTGTCATAAATTGTGTTTTTGAAAAATTTATTTTAAGACCAACTCTTTTTGTGGCAGTATGGAGTTCTTGGAGCATTATCTGTGCCTGATCTAATCTATAGGTATTTCACTAAAAATCTTACCTTTTAATAATATTATAACTTTTCTTAAGTGATATCTCTAAAAATCAACACACGCCAATACTCGCGTGTTAGATTTTTTCTAACGCTCCGACGAACGCGATCGCTCGCGTGTTAGATTTGAAATAACAACAACTAACAACTGCTGTCGGCTATAAGATAATAGGTACTCCTATTATCCTAAAATCCTAAATCTTTTTTTATACACATAGTTTTGATATACACTATGAGATAACAATAATGTAGCTAGTGAATTTAATTTCAAGTAAGCTCTACTAATTCTTTAAAAGGTTATTTTCAATAAAAAAAAAAAAAACGTTATCTAAAAAATCTTTTATAAAAAGGTATATTTATCTTAAAAAGAATCCTTTCGGGCTACATCACAGAACGTTTTCGGACTAACTACGGTAATATTATCAGGTATACATGAGTGAAGCCATTAATAATGTGGGTAAACACCCTTCAAATGTTAAATTTGTTATATATGACATCGTTGCTGACAAATTTATATGATTTTAAAGTTTTAAACAGATTTATTTTACAAAGGGTTTTTCATATTTAGTGGCTTCACTCATGGATACCTAGTAATAACACTGATGATAGACTTGTTAGTCCGAAACTTTCTGTGATATAGCTCGAAAGGTTCCTTTATAAATAACCTTCCACGGTTAGCATTTATAATATGGACACTGCGGCTGGCACACGGATTATTTATCCGCCTATATTTTTGTTAAACCTACTGGCTTAAATTGATTGTACTAACTTCAGAAATGATTTAAGTAGTTGTTAATTAATTATTTGAAAATAATAAACTAAGCATTTATTTTGAGTAAAATATTATAAAATTTTAAAATATGTAATTACGAGAATACATTCGGAAAAAAATTTTGTGACAATCGAAGCAACCATGGTGAATAGAATACAAAAGTTTTAATGTTTACCAAGAAAATACATATATTATATGTTTTAAATCTCGAGATTGTCGATAATTGTCGAGAAAGCCTTATATCTCTCTATTATCTTCTGGAATATGTCGAGGCTGATTTACAGGATCTACCTTATTGATTTCCTATATTCTCGATGACATGTGACGTGGTATATTTGCTTGATAACCACGAACGTTAGGCTGCGGTTCGATCAGAGCGAATGTTAAATTGTGCAAAAATTGTCTTCGTAGTAAACGAATCTCGTTATTATTAGAATAGAAAAGGACATGGACAAGGATATAAAAATGAAGTTTATACCAACTACATTTTGCATGGAATACAAAATTACTGTTGGCCATCGTCGAGTATTCCTAGCGCAGTCGTAGGCAGCAAGTAACTTGTCTAATGTGTCAACTCCCCCCTTTGTAGAATTGCATTCAAGAATCATTTCGGGTTTCATAGAATCCTCATCAATTGTATCGTTATGATGTAAACTAGACAGGAATACGTTTTTTTTTATTTCTTTTTGGTATATAGGACACCAAGGTAATATCATCATGAAAAACAAACAAGCTAGATCGAATAGGTCTGCTTATGGGTTTAGAAAATTCATGAGGTAATTTTTTCTTATGTTTGCGGTATGTTCCTAGAAATGTAAGTTTGTAATCATGAAGGAAGGTTTGGATTATTGGTATGTTTGAAAAC